CTGCAGTCCTTATGGCCCAGGAGCACTCAGCGGTGATAGTTACCTATTTATTTTTCTGACTCTCCCTTGGAGACAGACACAATGGTAATGATGTGTTTGATGTCTGCCTCCAGGGATGGTAAACCCTCTGTGCATGTGGGCTGTGGCTGTCTCATTCCTGCTGTATCTGTTGCATGCTGGGCTGGGCGAGGAGTAATAAACACACACAATACTTGCACGGTGAGCCCAGACAGGAATTGTTCTAAGAACCTCACAAGTGTCAGCTAATTTCATCCTTACCACAACTCGATGAGGAGTAAACTGTTATTAGTCCCTGTTCACGGATGAGAAAATAGACACAGAGGGTTAATGATCCCCTCTTAAGTGGAGAGGCAGGCTTAGCATCCAGTCAGCCAGCCCCGAAACTATGCTCTGGACCTCAATGCCTGTTGCATGGACCCTGGGCCCCCAGCAGGCGCTCGGTGAATTATAGCTGATGATATTCACACTCCCAGGCATACGTGCCTTTCACATAGGAGTAAGGTCTCTGTTACTCACCTCTGTGTACGCAGCACACCCTACATGGTTGGAGCTAAATAAATATTTCCTGCATGAATGAAAAAAATAAGTGAATCCTCAGAAGTATAAGGAATAACTTATTTTATTATTATGGCCTGAGTACCTTCCGAGCGTAAGTTTAAATTTAAATTTCATTTTTTATTAGGTAATACTTATGTGTTGTGCTAGTCAAGGTTGCCGTCCTTTTTCCACCAGGACCGCCTCATGGCACAACTCCAGAGGGCGCCATTCACAAAAAATAGTGTGGCAGCCACTACTCCTGCTCAGGCTCCCATCCACCCAGTTTCCCTCCCTGGAGCCACCACTGATACCAAACTTCTCCATCCTTCCAGAGCTGATCTCCTTGCATTGGAACTGATCGATTGTGTGGGTGTTACTCAACATGGACTTATTCGTCTTGCCTTGTTCATTTTACACCTTTGGGAGATTGTTTCATTTGAGGTGTATAGAGTAGGCTCATTCTTTTAATTATTAAGTTACATATTATCTATGTATGGTATGGACAGATGGTATGGATGTAACAGAATTTAGCTATTCCTCTGTTTAACCAGTCCTCCGTGTATTTAATCATCCTCTATCTGTTGTTTCTAAATTGTTTTTACTACAAATAGTGCTGCCACTTGCTGTTATTATCCCATCCACTTTTTAAACACATCTGAAGGTTATATTTGCAGAATTGGATTGCTTGGGTAAAGCAGAGGAATGACTTTCTAACAGTAGAATTTCAGTCATCTGTGACAGGCATGGATGAGATATATTTACATTGGGGCTTTGAGTATGTCAGATTCTGCTAGAAATTGATTGTCCATCCCCCTGCCTCCATATATTCCATGCTAGGGAATGATATTTATGGATTTGATGGTTTGTTATCCATTAAAGAGAAAAGAGAGATCTCACAGAAAGCCACAGAAAGGTGGCTTCTTGAAGTCTGACCAAGGCTCACTGGTTGGATCCCATCCTACCTCACTTCTAGAGTAAGACCTTGCTAGACAACACAGCACCTGCACCACTGAGCAGTAAGTTCACCGGAGGTCCTGAGAAGCCTGAGTTCAGGGATCACTCCACAAAGAAACATGTTTGAACTCTAGCCCCAGAGTCACCTTGTAAGGAAGAGGGAGAAGGTCATTGCTGTTCCTGAGACTCTGAGGATGTGACTCCTATTAACCACAGGATAGATGATGGACAGGTAGATGAATGGATGGATGGGAGGTGGGATGCACACATAGATGCATAGATATACAGAAGTAGCTATCGATCAAGTATGCAAGAACTTAGGCTTATTTTGAATTTGTGCTCTGGCACTTCCCCTTTATGTGACTTTAAGTAACTTCTTTGATCTCTCTGAGCTCCAATTTCCTTGTTTATAGTGGGACTGTCTTCATTGTGAAGCAGTGCCAATGGTTATAAACCAATGAGGGTAAATGGCCTAGCACAGTGCCTTGCCCACAGTGGTCTCCTCTGTGTGGTTGTAGTTGCTATAATTCATTTAATGACTGGACAGTCTCTGGATGGTATATTGAGGGCATCTCTTTGGCAGGAGTCAATGAATATGTACTTCATGCTCTGTTTGGCCCCTGCCTTCAAAGGAATGAACCTGTAGGGTGTGGTTCTTGGCCTTCTTTCCCTCTCAGCATGCTTGGCCTGTGACATTCAAGTGCTTGGCACTCTCCCAGCATGCATTGCACAGGGCAGGATTTCTAACTACACTCATCTATCTCCAGGCTAGGAAAGTAACGTTACTATAGGAATTACCCAGATCCACTGAAATTTATATTAAAACAATAAATAAATAAAGGAAAGGCAGTTACCCTTAGATTTGGGTCTCCTGGATACAATTTATTTGCAAAACAACATTAAGCTTGCACCTGCTACCTTATAGAGCAATGATGGGGGGGTGATGGCTAACAGATACTTGTGGGGTGTCTCCTTTCATTGGGTTTGGGTAAACTCCATTCACTTTCCAGATGCAAAGTGAGGTCGGTTATCACTGGGGTCCAGCCACTGTTCCCACATGACTATTGAATGGTTCTCTGTTGTAAGAGGTCAGTTTGTTGAGTCTCTGACTTGAGGTGCTAACCTCGCCCCCCCACAGGGACCTCAGGGAACCACAGACATCAGGGCCTTAGCTGGTGCCTTGGCTGTTTGGGTAAAGATCAAGCTTGCCAGGCCCAGGTGGGCTCTCTCAGTCCAGCAGGTAAACACAGGCTTGGCCTGCCAAAGAAGTTGCTTTAAGCCCCTGTGTCTTCAACTAGGGTGTGGAAACCAACCTCACCTGACCCTCCCAGCAACCCCACCCCAGCCCATGGGGACCTAGTGTTCTCTCCTCTATGCCCTCACAGCACATTGTTCCTGCAGCTATTAAAACACCTGCTGTAAGTTTTAAATACATCTCTACATCACTTTGCCGACAAACGTTCATAAAGTCAAAGCTATGGTTTTTCCAGTAGTCATGGATGGATGTGAGAGTTGGACCATAAAGAAGGCTGAGTGCCAAAGAATTGATGCTTTTGAACTGTGGTGCTAGAGAAGACTCTTGAGAGTCCCTTGGACAGCAAGGAGATCAAATCAGTCAATCCTAAAGGAAATCAGCCCTGAATATTCTTTGGAAGGACTGGTGTTGATGCTGAAGCTACAATACTTTGGCCACCTGATGCGAAGAGCTAACTCATTGGAAAAGATCCTGACGCTGGGAAAGACTGAAGGAGGAGAAGGGGACAACATCTCATTCTCTATGAGATGGTTGAATAGCATCACCAATTCAATGGACACAGGTTTGAGCAAACTCTGGGAGATAGTAAAGAACAGGGAAGCCTGGCGTGCTGCAGTCCATGGGGTCTTGAAGAGTCAGACACAACTGAGCGACTCAGCAACAACAACACCTGCCAAGGCAGTATTTTTTATATTTAGTTTGTTACAGATTTTATAAAATCTTGAATTCTTCATGAAAATGGCCATGGGGTTTGCATGATCTTCTATCTGGGAGGCTAGAGTTGAAAACAACACATTGGTGGTTTGGAATTCCATTGGGCTCTTCTCTGTAGATAAAAAGAATTGTGGGAAATCAAGCTTGTACAGAACCTTCGCTATGAACGCTGCTCTTGAATCCCACTTTCATCCATTCTGCAGTCAGTCGTTCATTCAACAAACACCTATCAACTCTCACTTTTGTGCCAGACACTATACTAGGCATATGGTGTAATTATATGAGAAAGACACACGCTGTGCCTTGGTGGCCAACACAATGTGGCCACCTAAATTTTGATGGGCCACCTATCTAGCCCTAAATTTTGCTGATATATTGACACCTCTTTCCAGAGTATAAGAAGTCAATTTATAGAATTACTTTTGGAGCATAATTTCCTAGAGCTTTGCTGCTGCTGTTAAGTCGCTTCAGTCGTGTCTGACTCTGTACGACCCCATAGACGGCAGCCCACCAGGCTCCCCCGTCCCTGGGATTCTCCAGGCAAAAACACTGGAGTGGGTTGCCATTTCCTTCTCCAATGCAGGAAAGTGAAAAGTGAAAGTGAAGTCGCTCAGTTGTGTCCAACTCTTAGCAACCCCATGGACCACAGCCCACCAGGCTCCTCCGTCCATGGGATTTTCCAGGCAAGAGTACTGGAGTGGGGTGCCATTGCCTTCTCCACCTAGAGCTTTGAGACTATTTATTTTTAAATTTACAGTATGTATTCATTCACCAAAAATCTGTGTAAGACACTGTGTCTATAGTAGTGGTGAGAGGGGGACATAAAGAAGAAAACATAAAATCTCTACTTTCTAGGACCCAAATCTAAGTAACAGAAGTCATATGTAGACAGAAAGTCCAGCCTGTTAATTCCTTTGTGACTGCATGTGGCATTGACTCATTTCTTCATTTTCTCATAAGTATGTTTGATGTGTGCTGTGTGCTCAAGCTGTGATAAGGGCCTGTGGAAGAATTCTAAAATGTAGTCTTGCCCTTTAGGCACTCTGGGGTCTCCCCAGGAAAGAGAAACGAGATTCAGATTCAAGTAGAACATCTGGTCATTTATACCTGCAGACCAAAATCAGTGGCTCAGAGAATGTTTTTGTGGCAAGGCAGCCCAGCATCAGCCAGTGTGAGCCTGTTGGATGCTTCGTGAGGGCAGAAGATTCTGAACCAGTTCTGAGGAACACAAAGGGCTTCAGGAGAGAGGCAGGGAGGACATTCCAGGCCAGGGCAAGGGCATAAGCAAAGCTCTTGAAATGTCAGAAATTTCTCTTTAGAAATGGAGACATGAAGGGATAGAGTAGGGGGAAACTTGCTCCAAAGAGCAGCCATCCCAGAGCAGTGCCAGGAGCAGCCCAGGGTGGATTGGGAGGTGGTCCTGATGCTGAATCTGCCCCCTTTTGGGGAGCCATGGGTTCTCAGCTATTCCTCTCTGTCCATTCCTCAGGTCCTCTGTGGCCCATTCAGGGATGACATAATGATCTTCATATTCCACCTGAAGTCCTGCCTTCCCTCTGCCTTAAGGAGTTTGATTCTACAAAAGAAACCAAACACCAGAAACATGTCCAACATGAGTAGGGGTGAATGGTGCTAGGTGTTAAAAAAAATTCCCTGGAAATACCAGCCATGTCCATTCCCAGAAACTCTCAAGACTCCCAGCTTCTAACTGGGAGACAGAAAGTCAGAGCAGAAGGAGATTCTCCTTGGTCACTGCTTAATTCTCTAGAAGGAGCTAATGCCTTGGACCAGGTGTGAAGTCTAGTAAGGCCCAGCTCTGCTTGGTACCCTCAGATCCTCAGGGAGAACCCCCAATGACCTCTGATGATGAGAAGGTTTTCCCTCCTGGGAGAAGTTTCCCCAGATTATGCCACATTTTAGTTTAGTTTTGATTGAGACCAAGTTTCCCCACGTGGGCTGGTCTTTTCCGGGTAGCACCCATCCCTACACTATCCCCCAGGAGTGACACCCAAGGCTCCAAAAGGCCCTGAAGGAGAAAACGGGTATCCATGTTGTCACCAACCTAAATCCCAGCAAAATTTCACAATAACAAAGACATTTCTGGTTATGGTGGAATCACCAACAACATGGACTAGAGTACTAAAGCAGGACAATTTTCATTGTTTATGGACATGTCTGTCCTCTGTTGCCCTTTGTGGGCCAACAGTTATCTATTGTTGCCTGTCAAAGCACCCCCCAAACTTGGTGGCTTAAACCATAATTCTCATAATCTACACTGAGGCTAGACTCAGCAGGGTGGTTCTTCTGCTCCACATGGTGTCTCCTGGGCTAGCCCACCAAGCTGGTATCTTCCTCACATGTCTGGAGTGTCATGGCTGGAACCACTGGGACCAGCCTCACATTTCTCTCTCTAGGAAGCCTCTCCATCAGTGGAGGCCAGAATTCTTTAGAGTAGCTCAGGCCTGCGTGGGAGATATTCCAGGAGAACAAGCTCTAATGCACATATCCAGCCTCTGCTTGCTTCATACCCCCTAAAGTCCTGTTAGTAAAGCAAGTCATGTGGCCCAGGCCAGTGTCAAAGTGAAGGGGACTCCCAGTTGTGAATACTGGGAAGCATGCTTTATAGTCAGCACATAACAGTGGCCCAAAGCCCTTCATTTACGTGATGGACCAACAAACACCAGCTTCACCAGATCAACCTCCACTCACTAGAACCTGGGGGACTAAGGGAACAGCAAGGCTTCTTACTGGCCATCTCTGGGGGCAGACTGTGTTACCTCTCTAAGCCTCACCTGTTAGAAAGTAACCACAGAACCTTGCCCACGGAGCTGACATAGGTGAGGTGCTGGACCCATATTAGCTGTCCACCTGAAGCTGAAACTCCAATACTTTGGCCACCTCATGCAAAGAGTTGACTCATTGGAAAAGACCCTGATGCTGGGAGGGATTGGGGGCAGGAGGAGANCATTGGAAAAGACCCTGATGCTGGGAGGGATTGGGGGCAGGAGGAGAAGGGGACGACAGAGGATAAGATGGCTGGATGGCATCACCGACTCGATGGACATGAGTTTGAGTAAACTCCGGGAATTTGTGATGAACAGGGAGGCCTGGCGTGCTGCGATTCATGAGGTTGCAAAGAGTCAGCCACGACTGAGCGACTGAACTGAACTGAACTGATGGTGGATTCTCCACGAGGAAAGCGGCTGTTTCTGTGGGCCAGCTGGAGCTCTCCAGCTTGGAGAGCTGTCTTCCAGGGCTTTAAATCAAATTAGGACTGTTAAAAGGCTTTTGCGTCTTTGTTTTCTCTCTCTCTCTCGTTATTAAGTTAAAAAAAAAAAAAAGGAAAACATTGTTCTTTGGGTAAAAGGACCCAGAGGACTCATTTCATTTCTCTCTGCAAAGAAAAGGCTAACATGACCTTAGATGGAGGTGGACAGGGCAGACTGTAAAGTACCCCTGCCTCACATGTCCACAGCCCCTTCCAAAAGGGCACCACGGAGGCCTCTATTCCATGTCCTGTTACTGATGAGGGTGATGCGGAGACTTTCTATGACCAGCAGTAGAGGTGAACAAAACCAAAACACAAAGCCTTCAGAAATGCACTTAATTAAAAAGGAGACAGAGAAGCTTTGTGTGCATAATACCTCGTGATTTATGGTAGTCATCCAATTTGCTCTGGAAACAGGCTTCAGAGGTAAGAGAGGGGTGGCTAGGGATCACTCACTCTAGATTATTTTTGAAACACGCTGGCTTGCTCGAGCCATGCACCTAGCTTCCTTGTGCTTTCGGCAGCAGGGGGTGTCCAGTTTATCCTCCTTTGGAAAGTCTATAGCATTGGCAGGCACTATAGGCTTTGAAGTAATGAATTCAAGGTAGTTCGAGTGGGGCCAGACCCAGACTTTCCCTGCAGAGGATTGTATCTGCTTTATTGCTGTATTCTAGAGGAGGAAGGTGCCAGAGATGGTGATGGACCCATCCTGGTTGGTGGGGGGGGGGGGGCATGCCTGCAGCCCAGTGATGACCTGAGAGGATCTCAGGGGTCACCTGTCTGAGGCTTGACTCCTGACTGTGCCACGTACCAGCTGTGTAACCCTGGGAAGGTCACTCCATCTCTCTGAGCCTTATTCTACTCGCCTCTTGTATAAAGTACAGACGATTCCACACATAAATTTCTGAGCACAGAGACTCTGGCATATAATGAGCATTCAGAAAAATATTAACTGATAAATATTACTGCAAAAAAAGAAATGTCCACACGTTGATAGAGCAAGTCTGGCACTTAGGAGATTTGTCGCCAAGATTATTTCTCCAAAAGAGTACAATTATGTTTTTCTTTGGGATGATCTACTTTTTAAAGGAAATAGCCTTTTTTTTTTTTTTTTTTTGGAAATTTTCTTTGGGATGATCTACTTTTTAAAGGAAATATTATTTTTTTTTTTTTTTTTTTGGAAACATAACTTTTCTTGTTTGTTTTTCCTCCAGTTACAGATTGATACCTGTTTATTGCATAATTTTTAGCATATTAAGGAAACCATAAAAAAGAAAATTAAAATCACCCACAATCTTGTCAGTGGAGATAATCATGATGAACATGAAGATGTGTTTCCTTCTGGTTATTTTTTTTTATTAATTTATTTTTTATCAAAGGATAATTACTTTACAGAATTTTGTTGCTTTCTGTCAAACCTCAACATGAATCAGTCATAGGTATACATATATCCCCTTCCTTTTGAACCTCCTTCCCATCTCCCACACCATCCCACCCTAGGTGGATACAGACCCCTGTCTGGTTTCCTGAGTCATACAGCAAATTTCCATTGGCAATGTATTTTACATATGGTAATGTAAGTTTCCATGTTACTCTTTCCATACATCTCACCCTCTCTTCCCCTCTCCCCGTGTCCATAAGTCTATTTTCTATGTCTGTTTCTCCATTGCTGCCCTGTAAATAAATTATTCAGTACCATTCTTCTAGATTCTGTATATATGCGTTAGAATACGATATTTTTCTTTCTCTTTCTGACTTACTTCACTCTGTATGGTAGGTTCTAGGTTCATCCACCTCATTAGGACTGACTCAAATGCATTCCTTTTTATGGCTGAGTAATATTCCATTGTGTATATGTACTTCTTTATCCATTCATCTGTCAATGGACATCTAGGTTGCTTCCATGTTCTAGCTATTGTAAATAGTGCTGTAATGAACAAAAGGATACATGTGTGTTTTTCAATTTTGGTTTCCTCGGGGTATATGCCTAGGAGTGGGATTGCTGGGTCATATGGTGGTTTTATTCCTAGTTTTTAAGGAATCTCCATACCATCTTTCTTAGTGGCTGTTCCAATTTCCATTCCCACCAACAGTGCAAGAGGGTTCCCTTTTCTCCATACCCTCCCCAGCATTTATTGTTTGTAGACTTTTTGATGATGGCCATTCTGACTGGTGTGAGGTGATAATCTCATTGTACTTTTGATTTGCTTTTCTCTAAAAATGAGCAATGTTGAGCATCTTTTCATGTGTTTGTTAGCCATCTGTATGTCTTCTTTGGAGAAATATCTGTTTATGTCTTTTTCCCACTTTTTGATTGGGTTGTTTGTTTTTCTGTATTGAGTTGTATGAGCTGCTTGTATATTTTGGAAATTAGTCCTTTGTCAGTTGTTTCATTTGCTATTATTTTCTTCAGTTCTGAGGGCTGTCTTTTCACCTTGAGTATAGTTTCCTTTGCTTTGCAAAAGCTTTTAAGTTTAATCAGGTCCCACTTGTTTACTTTTGTTTTTATTTCCATTACTCAAGGAGGTTGGTCATAGAGGATCTTGCCTTGATTTATGTCATCAAGTGTTCTGTCTATGTTTTCCTCTAAGAGTTCTATAGTTTCTGGTCTTACATTTAGGTCTTTAATCCATTTTGAGTTTATCTTTGTGTATGGTGTTAGGAAGTGTTCTAATTTCATTCTTTTACATGTAGCTGTCCAGTTTTCTCAGCGCCATTTATTGAAGAGGCTGTCTTTGCCCCATTGTGTATTCTACCTCCTTTGTCAAATATAAGGTACGCATAGGTCCATGGGTTTATTTCTGGGCTTTCTGTCTTGTTCCATTGGTCTATATTTCTGTTTTTGGGCCAGTACCATACTGTTCTGATGACTGTAGCTTTGTAGTATAATCTGAAGTCAGGAAGGTTGATTCCTCCAGCTCCATTCTTCTTTCTCAAGACTGCTTTGGCTGTTTGGGGTCTTTTGTGTTTTCATATGAATTATGAAATTTTTTTGTTCTAATTCTGTGAAAAATGTCTGATAATTTGATAGGGATCACATTGAATCTGTAGATTGCATTTGGTAGTATAGTTGATTGATTCAATATTGATTCTTCCTACCCATGAACATGGATTATTTTTCCATCTGTTTATGTCATCTTTGATTTCTTTCATTAATGTCATAATTTTCTGTGTATAGTTCTTTTGTCTCCCTAGGTAAGTTTATTCCTAGATATTTAATTCTTTTTGTTGCAATGGTGAATGGGATTGATTCCTTAATTTCTCTTTCTGATTTTTCATTGTTAGTATATAGAAATGCAAGTGATTTCTGTGTATTGATTTTGTATCCTGCAACTTTGCTAAATTCACTGATTAGCTCTAGTGATTTTCTGACACTATCTTTAGGGTTTTCTATGTACAGTATGTCATCTGCAAACAGTGAGAGCTTTACTTCTTCTTTTCCAATCTGGATTCCTTTTATTTCTTTTTCTTCTCTGATTGCTATAGCTAGGACTTCCAGAACTATGTTGAATAATAGTGGTGAAAGTGGACACACTTGTCTTATTCCTGATCTTAGGGGGAATGCTTTCAGTTTTTTCACCATTGAGAAAAATGTTTGCTGTAGGCTTATCATATATGGCTTTTACTATGTTGAGGTAGGTTCCTTCTATGCCCATTTTTTAATCATAAATGGGTGTTGAATTTTGTCAAAGGCTTTTTCTGCATGTATTCAGATTATCATATGGTTTTTATCTTTCAATTTGTTAATATGGTGTATCACATTGATTGATTTGCCTATACTGAAGAATCCTTGCATCCCTGGAATAAACCCAACTTGATCATGGTGTATGAGCTTTTTGATGTGTTGCTAAACTCTGTTTGCTAAAATTTTGTTGAGAATTTTTGCATCTATTTCATCAATGATATTGGCCTTAGTTTTCTTTTTTTGTGTTGTCTTTGTCTGGTTTTGGTATCAGAGTGATGGTGGCCTCATAGAATGAGTTTGGAAGTGTTCCTTCCTCTGCAATTGTTTGAAAGAGTTTTAGAAGGATAGACATTAACTTTTCTCTAAATATTTGATAGATTTCTCCTGTGAAGCCATCTGGTCCTGGGCTTTTGTTTTTTGGGAGATTTTTGATCACTGCTTAAATTTCAGTGCTTGTAATTGGGTTGTGCATAATTTCTATTTCTTCCTAGTTCAGTCTTGGAAGATTGAACTTTTCTAAGAATCTGTCTATTTCTTCCAGGTTATCCATTTTATTACCAGTTTAACAGCTGATTTTTCAGTAGAAACTCTGCAGGCCAGAAGGGAATGGCAGGATATATTTAAAGTACTGAAAGGGAAACATTGACAACCAAGATTACTGTACCCAGCAAGGATCTCACTCAAAATTGATAGAGAAATAAAAAGCTTTTCAGACAAGCAAAAGTTAAGAGAATTCAGTACCACCAAACCAGCTTTACAACAAATGTTAAATGGACTTATATAGTCAAGAAATACAAGAGAAGAAAAAAGATCTACAAAATCAACCCCAAACAATTAAGAAAATGGCAATACGAACATGTATATCAATAATTACTGTAAGTATAAATGGATTAAGTGTTCCAACCAAAAGACACAGACTAGCTGAATGGATACAAAACAAGACCCATATATATGCTGTCTACAAGAAACCCACTTCAGACCTAAAGACACATATAGACTGAAAGTGAGAGGATGGAAAAATATACTCCATTCAAATGGGAAGCAAAAGAAAGCTGGAGTAGCAATCCTCATATTGGACAAAATAGACCTTAAAATAAAGATGATTACAAGAGATAAGGAAGGACACTACATAATGATCAAGGGATCAATCCAAGAGGAAGACATAACAATTGTAAATATCTATGCAGTCAACATAATACCTCAAAACATAAGACAAACATTACAGACATAACAGGAGAAATTGATAGTAACATAATAATAGTAGGAGACTTTAACACCCCACTCACACCAATGGACAGATCATCAAAACAGAAATTTTATAAGGAATGTCTTAAATGATACATTAGATGAGATGGATCTCATTAATATCTTCAGGACATTCCATCCAAATGCAGAAGAATACACTTTCTTCTCAAGTGCACATGGAACATTCTCCAGGATAAATCACATCTTGGGTCACAAATCAAATCTCAGTAAATTTAAGAAAATTGAAATCATATCAAGCATCTTCTCCAACCACAATGCTATGAGACTAGATATCAAGTACAGGGGGGAAAAACTGTAAGAAACACAAGCGCATGGAGATTAAACAATACATTTCTAAGTAACCAACAGGTTACTGAAGAAATCGAAATGGAAATGAAAAAATTTCTAGAAGCAAATGACAATGAAAACACGACAACTCAAAACCTATGGGATACAGCAAAAACAGTTCTAAGAGGGAAGTTTATAGCAGTACAATCCTATCTCAAGAAACAAGAAAAACATCGAATAAACAACTTAACTTTACACCTAAAACAGCTGGAAAAAGAAGAACAAAAAAACCCCAAAATTAGTAGAAGGAGAGAAATCATAAAGATCAGAGCAGAAGTAGATGAAAAAGAAATGAAAGAAATAATAGTAAGATTAATAAAACTAAGTGCTAGTTCTTTGAGAAGATAAGCAAAATTGACAAACCTTTAGCCAGACTCATCAAGAAAAAAAGGAGAATCAAATCAACAAAATTAGAAGTCAAAAAGGAGAGGTTACAACAGACAATACAGAAATACAAAGGATTATAAGAGACTATTGTGAACAACTATATGGCAATAAAATGGATATCCTTCTAGTTCTTTCTTTTATCTTCTTTAAAAAGAAGAATATGCTGAGAATACTATTTTCCTACCTAGTAATGTTCCTTTAATGATACATCCCAAACATCTTTTAATATCATTAAATATTTCTTCTTTACCATAATCTTATTTTATTTTATTGGCCGTGCCATGTGGCATGTGGGATCTTAGTTCCCTGAGTGGGGATCAAACCTGAGTCCCCTTCATTGAAACCACTAGACCCCCAGGAAAATCCTTATACAATAATTTTAAATGTCCTCACAAAATTCACTGGATGAATGTAACTCCAACCCCTCCTTCCTGAGCACCCATGTGTTGGGTAATTCACATATAGGAAAGGACTCACAGAGTTCTCTTTGAGGTATGTGTGATCACTATCATCTCATCCATGGCAAAAGCAAACCTGGGGTCATAGCACTGGTCAGAGGCAAAATAGGGATTCAAACCCGGTTTGTTTGCCTCCAGACCCAAAGGACTTCCCTTTCCAGAGAGGAGCTGGTTGCCCCCAGAGGAGAATGTGGCCTGCAAGTGGTAGGCATGGCAGTGTGATCTTCCTCTAAAACTATCTCTTTGGAGGGAGTCAAGGATTCTTTGAGCCTGCTCGATTAAGAACCTGCCCAAACAAAACATGTGAACCGTCTCTTTCCCAAAAAGGATACCCAAATGGGCAATAAAACATACAAAAAGGCACTCATTTGTATTACTCATTGGAGCAATGCAAATTAAAATCACCATTTGATGCCACTGGAAAGGCTGAAATGAAAAAGGCAGGCAATACCAAGTGTTGAAGAGGATACGGAGCAACCAAGAGCTCACACGCCCCTGTTGGGTATGTCAATCTGTGAAACTGACAGACTGGGACCTGGGACCCGGTGCTGTAGTGCTGGACTGCTTGTACCCGGACAAACATTGCCTCAAGCAACAACATGCAAAGAAACTGCACAGGATTAAAAACTACTGTGTGCATGTGCAGCTGGGGTAAATTCTGGGCAAAAAAATACAAAAAAAGACCAAAACACCCAGCTGCCACTTCCAAAGAGCTGGGAGCAAAAATTGTGCGTCAGGAGCAAAAGCAGGGTACTGCACATGCCCCCTGCAGTCAACACCATAAAGACGTGGGCTAAACACCGAAGCCACTGTCCTGCCCAACCCCTGGACACACCCCTACCCTCACCCCATATAAGAAACCAGCTCACCTAGCCTCAGGGAGCGAGCCAAGGGACCTATTACTTGTTTTCGCTCCCTCCTGCAACCACAGGAACACCAATAAAGCCTTTCCTGAGTGTCTTGGTCTGGCCTCTTATCAATTTCTGTTGACTGGGGAAGACCAAGAACTCTGGTCAGTATCACAACCACTTTGGAATCTGCTTAGCAGTACTGGCTCAGATGGTAAAGTGTCTGCCTACAATGTGGGAGACCTGAATTTGATCCCTGGGTTGGGAAGATCCCCTGGAGAAGGAAATGGCAACCCACTCCAGTACTCTTGCCTGGAGAATCCCTTGGACGGAGGAGCCTGGTAGGCTACAGTCCATGGGGTCACAAAGAGTCGGACATGACTGAACGACTTCACTTTCACTTTTCACCAAAGCTGAGCAATCGTAGGTGTGTGCCAAACAGCATTGAGCATGTGTGTGCCCAAAATGCATGTACTAAAGTGTTTTTGGTGGCACCATTGGTAACAACCCTGCGCTGGAAAGGATTCCAGTGTCCATCAGCAATGGGTTTGGATAAAAGCAGTGTGGTAATAAGTGTACCTAAAGAAAATCAACCCTGAATATTCACTGGAAGGACTGATGCTGAAGCTGAAGCTCCAATACTTCAGCCACCTGATGCAAAGAGCTGACTCACTAGAAAAGATTTCTCATGCTGGGAAAGATTGAAGGTAACAAGAGAAGGGGACGACAGAGGATGAGATGGTTGGATGACGTCATCTACTCCATGGACATGAGTTTGAGCAAACTGCGGGAGATGGTGAAGGACAGGGAAGCCTGGTGTGCTGCAGTCCATGGGGTCTCAAAGAGTTGGACAGGACTGAGCAACTGAACAACAAGGAGTGTGCCACACATCAGCGAGAATGAACCCGCTATTGGTGGGCAAAGAGAGGTAGCCTCAAAAGACACATACCGTATGATTCCCAGGAAGAACACTTAAGAAGAACAGGCAAACATGATCTGTGGTGTTAGAAGTCAGGGTAGTGGTCACCCTTATGAGGGCTGTGGAGGGGGCTGACTGTAAGGGGCATGGGGGGGCAGGATCCTGGGATGATGGCAACACTCTGTGTCTTGATCAGGATGCTGGTTCCACAGGTCTGTTCATCTCATGAAAGTTCATTAAGCTGTACATGTAGGTGCATTTTTCTGTGTGTGTGTTATGCTTCAATAAAAAGTTGAATTGTAAAGGCTCTACAAAGAAGGAATAGACTGCATTCTTCCCTTTTCTCAGCAAACCCAGGGCTCTAGCCAGCCAGTGTGATGATCCTGCCCAGGCCCCTTGCTCTGGCCTTTGAAAAGTTCTGCCAAGCTTTCCATTAAATTGGGTGGGAAGAAAATTTGCTTTTTAATTTTCATAGCCCCAAACTAAAATTGAGCTTTCCCTTTCATTATGAATGCAGTGAAAATGCTGCACCAGGTCAGCAGACCTGGTGATTTTGTGGCTGTCCAGAGAAATCAAGCATTTTCATGTCACACTGAAGTTCCTTCCTGATATCGCAGAAATATCCTACACGCTGATCACTACCTCAAAATTCCAGGCAGAGGTCTACCATTTTGTTCCTTGAGTTGCTAATGAAGACACATACAAATTGCCATATCAGTTTTTTTCATAATTTGATAACTGCACTTGCAATGTAATTGATTTCCTTTGTAATCTTACGCATTTCCTTTTATGCAGTTCAAAATATGACTTCCATAGCTGCATTAGACTACCAAAGGGGTCCAGGGCACATACAATGTTAAGATTCTGTTTTAGACAGATAATTACCAGCAATCTTCCTCCTCTCTACATCACATAAAAGTAGAAACTGTGTTCTCGTTGATAGCTTCTTGGACTTCTTCCTTCTGCTGCCTTGAACTCAGTGCTGAGGGTTTTGATCTATGCTAATTCTTTTTTTTTTTACATTTATTTCACTTGATTTCTTGGCAGACAGCTGTGTCTTGTGCCATCATCCCTGGCTTTTGCTGCCCTCTTGTGATCACAATGATGCCCGCTCCCAAGGACAAGCTGGGAAGGCTGGTGCAGGCCACTTGATCCATGCAGGGGTGAGCAAGGACAACCCATTCACAGTGGCGACCCAGGTCAATGTCCACTCTCGTTCATGGTTCTGACAGCTGCACTTGGACTCCAGCCCAAGAAGACAGGAACTTGCTGTGTTCCCGAGTTCCCCTGATTTGTCCTCATCTTTCCCAGAGGTCTCAGGAGTTAAGATCCTGGACAAGACCCAGATTCCAGCAGTGGTACTAGGGCTGGGCTTACAGATGCCCTTCAGGTTTGAAGGCGATGCCCTTGGTTGTAGAGCCAGCCTTATCCATTAGTCCTTGTGAACGTCAAATGAAGCTGGAGTAGGGGAAGCAGGTGGTAGGGAATGTCAGCTGAGCTGTTTGTCTTGAGATTTGAAATCATAGTAACCACTAATCTAGGCTATTGTTTGCTGGTGTATTTGAGCAGGGGGTGGCTCCTTCCAAATGTTAACTTGAACTGAAAGCCATTGATCCCCAGTGTATTAACTCAATCTGACAGCAAGTGAACAACAGATCCAAGTGTGGAATCTCCCTAGGCCTCTTGGAGGCTCTCAGAGGCCTGATGAGAGCTTGGGATTTGGGCCTCGGGTGAGTCAGAGTTCAGGATAATTGAACTCACTCAGCTGCATAACAGACAAAATCAGACAAGGCCCGCGTTCTGGAAAAATGCAGTTGGCACTTGCCAACTTGCTCACAGAAAGATGGGCTCAGGACTACCCAAAGCAAAGGGTCTGCTGAGTTGTTTTATCATTAGTGGATGCATGGTATCCAACACACCCATCTTTGCTGTCCTTTATGAGCACTGATGGCCAGCCATTGGTAGGGACACTGTTGGTGGTCAAGCCACCGAGTTTCTGTCTGGGTCATGTGACAGTCTGTAGCAAGATAAACTCAAAATCGCTGGCTTTGTTAGCAGTCTGTATGAAAGCAATGCTGAGAAAAAACTGCCCCCAAGTCTGCCCCAGAAATCACACTAGGCATTTAAGATTCCATGCTTTGAAACCAGGGCTTCCCTGGAGGCTCAGAGGGTAAAGAATCTGCCTGCATTGTGGGACACCCGGATTCGATCCCTGGGTCAGGAAGATCCCCTGGAGAAGGGAATGGCAACCCAGTTCAGTATTCTTGCCTGGAGAATCCCATGGACAGAGGAGCCTGGCGGACTATAGTCGCAGCTATTCTTCTCAAAATGGATTAGAAGTCAGCACGCATCCTGGGCTGTTAAAGACCTGACTTCTGGCGTCCTCCCCAGCCTTCTCCAATACAATTTATAGCAATTCTGTGACTAGAGTTCCTCTTGGAGAAAGAACCATAAACTACTCAGTGGGTCCAAATTGGATTGTACCAGCCAGTACAAAACCCCTCGGGATTCACTTTCTTTTTCCATCAGAAGAACTGCTGGGCATCAAAGATCTTTCCAAACCTGACTACGAGGAGGTTGTGGTGTGTCAGCCTGGGCATGTTCCAGTGTTCTGGCCTTCTCAGCTGACCAGTCTTGAAGTTGTCGGCAGCTGCATTATGTCTGGGCTTAAGAGGGCTGTCACTCTGACCTGGGAGAGAATTGGGTGGGTCTCCAGTTCCTGAGTGAATAAGGCTTATGGAGCAATGACTTAAGGGGGTGCCCTGGTGGCCCAGGTGGTGAAGAATCTAGCCTGCAATGCAGGAGGCCTGAGTTCGATTGGTGGGTAGGGATGATCCCCTGGAGAGGGGAATGGCAACCCACTCCAGTATTCTTGCCTGGAGAATCCCAGGGACAGAGGAGCCTGGTGGGCTGCAGTCCATGGGGTCGCAAAGGGTTAGACACGGAGTGACTAAGCACAGCAGTGACTTAAGAAATAAAGTCATAAAACACAGGAGTGCGGCCCACAATGAAGATCTGTTTTCATTCTTCTCATTCCAGTGCTGGGCCCCACCATAGGAGCTTGACTTTCAGCTCAAATATGGGTTTTTTTCTTTTTTAAAACTGAAATATAGTTGATTTATTGGGTTGGCCAGAAAGTTTGTTCGGGTTTGTCATGCCATCTTACAGAACCGAACACAAACTTTTTGGCCAGCCCCATACAATATCATATTAGTTTCTGGCATATATCTATCAGCAAAGGCTCACAGCCCATTCTAGCAGAAGGACCAAAGTGTTGCTTGACCTTTGGAGACATTTTTGGAGGTTGGTGGAGCTTTGAAAGCCAAGGTGAAGCAACTGGAACGAAGCATTTCACATGGTATTTGTCAGATACTTGTCAGTCCATTTTTTCGAAGGCTGAGGGTGATATTACAATAAAGTGACACACGAGGGCGCCCTAGCTAGCACACAGTAAGGGATGTGACGGAAACCTTGAAAATAACTCTTGCAGCCCATTGTCATAGACAGACAAAAATTCTAGCCAGGTCAGCCTGGCTTACATTACAAATAGAATTTAGTGCTATTTTCAGTTTCTTTTTTCAAGCATTCATGGAAGCTTGGCTATCCGAATGACCTCATGAGAGGGGAAGATTATCTCTAAATGGTGATGAGGCATAAACACCAAGATCCAGAGGATTCTATTCATTTGTTTATTTCATGTAAAGGTATTGGAAACCTACTCTGGGCACAGATCTTAGGAATAAGAAGCTGCAGGAGACAGGATGTAGTCCTCAGGGAGCTTGTGGCCATTTCCGAGTGTGTACTCATGTGTGTACACTCATCCGCCCAGTGGCAGTAAATAAATATCCTCCCACGCGTTGGTCTCAGCCCTCCCCTTCCCCCTGCCAGGGAATGCCCTGCAGAAGGGCTCTCACTGCTGCCAGGATCCCAGCACGTGGTAACACTTCAGTTCTGGCTTTCAGTAGCATGAAAGTGAAAGTGAAGTCTCTCAGTCATGTCCCACTCTTTGCAACCCCAGGGACTGTAGCCTACCAGGTTCCTCTGTCCATGGGATTTTCCAGGCAAGAATACTGGAGTGGGTTGCCATTTCCTTCTCCAGTGCAGAAATAATGAAGGCTGTTGTAATTAACTTTCTCATGACTCAAAAACTCTGAGTAATGTAAGCACCTGCTGATATATGAGACAGAGAATACTTAGTGTCTTTAAAAATACTTCCAGTTTAAAATAATTTGATAATCAGTGGTAAATGAAAGCAAGTGCCTAGGAAGAAAATTTCTGCAACCATCGTGGGCAAAACTAAGTACAACTCATAATTGCTAAACTTCTGCTCATAGAGTTTTTTGGAAGGAGCTTCATGACTCAAAGAAGCTAATTCATGATGATGCTGGTAAATATATAAATTAAAGTGTGTGTGTGTGTGTGTGTGTGTGTGTGTGTGTGTGTATGTGTGTGTGTTAGTCACTCAGTTGTGTCTGATTCTTTGCGACCCCATAGGCTGTAGCCCACCAGGGTCCTCTGTCCATGGGATTTTCCAGGCAAGAATACTGGAGTGGGTTGCCATTTCCTTCTCCAGGAGACCTTCCCTACTCAGGGACTGAACCCGGGTCTCCCGCATTGTAGGCAGATGCTTTACCGTCTGAGCCATCAGGACTTCAATTGATTGTAAATGAGAGCAAATGACATCATTGGTCAGGGATCACCTTGAATCTGTCTGATGATGTTCAGGCGCTAAGTCGTGTCTGACTCTTTGCGACCTCTTGGACTGCAGCACTCCAGGCTTCCCTGTCCTCCACTATCTCCCGGAATTTGCTCAAACTCAAGTCTGCTGAGTCGGTGATGCCATACAACCATCTCATCCTCTGTCGTCCCCTTCTCCTCCTGCCTTCAATCTTTCCCAGCATCAGGGTCTTTTTCAACGAGTCAGTTCTTGGCATCAGGTGGCCAAAGTATTGGAGTTTCAGCTTCGGCATCAGGTGGCCAAAATATTGGAGTTTCAGCTTCAGCATCAGTCCTTCCAGTGAATATATTCAGGGTTGATTGCCTTTAGAATTGGCTAGTTTGATCTCCTTGCTGTTCAAGGGACTTTCAGGAAAAATCCTGCTCAAACTTCAGTATTTAAACTTTTATTAGCAACAGATTAAGTGCTACACATCTCACAACTGATGGATCAAAACCCAGTGTCACACTCTGAACTGATTGTTCTAATGTGTGATGGCTTTAGAGTGACCAATTTCAGGTTCTGTCCAAAGCACATAAAACCAATGATTGGATTCATCAAAATCCTTCATTATTATCCTTTACATCAAGGCTAAAAACTAAGTTAGAACACTTGACGGGTCTGTCAATAGGTTTTCCTTCTGAAGTTGCCTGACTTCGGCTTTCTGTCAGGTCTGAGAAATTTTACTGTTTTCTGTGAGACCCAGAATGCTGTTATGTACTCAGTTCATATCTGCATTCACAGAGCACTTACTGTGTGCACTTGTGAGATGAAAAGACAATGGTCCCTTTTCCCTGAAAACGCACAGCGGAGTTGAGATGGAGTACTCAAGGATAATAATGACACCAAAGAAAGCAGAAGGTCTAAATGAAGTATAGTGAGGATTAAGCATCTGACAGGCCAGGGTCAAGGACACGAGAATGAATAAGATATAGCACCTGGTTCAGCGATGCAAACCATCGCTTACTGAGGGCTTACATTGGACCAGGCGCTTTGTTAAACACTTTCACGTGCATTTTCCAGTTCAGTTCTTAAAACAACCATATGAGGCATTATCATTTTATAGTTAAGGAGGCAGGTTTAGAGAGGTCAAAGTCACATCTCAAGCTCAAGTGTGTTTGCCACACTAAAGCCATGTTCTTAATAACTACACTACAGTGTATCACACTGCCGGGGATCTAGTAGGGAAGAGTTTTAAAAAGCACAAAATTAGGATAAACCAAAGCAAAATATATGGAATATGAGAAAAATAGAAGCTGTGTTCAGAGATAGTTGCATGTGTGTGTGCTAAGTCATTTCAGTCTTGTCCAACTCTTTGTGACCCTATGGACTGTAGCCCACCAGGCTTCTCTCTCCATGGGGATTCTCCAGGTAAGAATACTAGAGTGGGTTGCCATGCCCTCTTCCAGGGGATCTTCCCGACCCAGGGATCGAACCCACATCTCCTGCGACTCCTACACTGCAGGTGGATTCTTTCCCACTGAGCCACTGTGGAAGCCCCTAGAGAAACCTGTCTGTTAGCAAACCTAACGTCTGCTGCAAAGTAAAGTTAGGTTGCTTGATGCATTGTAAGGGTTCAGCAGGTCCTTTCTATATCCATGGGATTGCATTGGAATCCTAGAGCCCCTAGAACCCCAGCTGTGGCGGTGGGTACCTCATTTCTTTCCCCACACTTAACATACCATCACTTTCCTGAAACTTGGGGTCCCCTGTTAAAATGGAACTTGATTTAGCCATAAGCCAACTTGTTCTGCCCTGGTGCCCCTAAGTGGTGTAAGGAGTGCTAACGGCTGAGTCCAGGCAGGGGTGCCATCTTTTCCCATCAACTCGATGGAACGGACACGTTTGATGAAGTGGTCTGGGCTCAGTCGCTCCTGTTGTGTGCTTTAGAGACCCCACTGGCTTTCACCGCGCGCCACGGTTGCACAGTTACGACCGGCCTGAAGGGCACAGCAGCTCCAGCCAGACGTCTCATCCCTGAGGGAATTCCAGAGATCCATCACATTTCCCAGGATCCTTTGCACCACAGCACGGCATCAGCTTCAGCCATTCAGAGAATCAGCAAACTGAAGGTGATAAGTGCCATCGACCCAGGTAACAAACCAGTCACACCCGCAAACATAGAGAACACACTTGTGGACACAGACAGGGAAGGAGAGTGTGGGACAAAATTGAGCGAGTAGTGTTGAAACATATGTATTACCATGTATAAGATTAGACAGCCTGTGGAAATTTGCTATAGGATGCAGGAAGCTCAAATCCAGGGCTCTGTGACAACCTAGAGGGTGGGATGGGGTGGGAGGTGGGAGGGAGGTGCGAGAGGGAGGGGACACATGTATTCCTACGGCTGATTCATGTTGTACGGCAGAAACCAGCGTAATCTTGTAAAGCAATTATCCTCCAATTAAAATATTTAAATTAAAAAAAAACAGAAACCAAGAAGTTATACCTCAAAGACCTAGAGAAATTCATCAGTGTTGTGATGTTCAGGGGGGAAGGCGGCCTGCAAACTCTATTTACAGTATGATTTTTTTTTAATGCTAATATTATGTATGAATCCTGCAAAGAGGTAAATGCACCAAAATACTAATGGTGGTGATTGTGATTGTGGATGACTTTTGCTTTTCTCTTTTGATTTTCTCCCAAATTTTCAACACTAAACATATAAGAGAGTTTGAGAGGTGGGCACATTCCCATCCAGGACTAAATTGGGGTTGAATAAGGAGGAAAAGGGGAGAAATGTTTCCTACATAGTCAACTGCCACAGTTTACCCAGTGTCATCAGTTATACAATAATGTCCCTAATCTTTATCTTTTATGCCCTTTTCTGGGGTTGGATATAGTCCAGATTTTGTGTACCAAGCAGCTAAGACAGGGCTGCAGGGTTGAGTTTCTTCTCTTTGGGGGATCCTGGTGGGGCAGGACCCTGCAGAGACAGCCTTATAACAATTTGCAGCCAACATGTATATTGTTTTATGGTGCCTCGGAGGACAGTCCTTTGAAAACTTCTGACTTTCTAGACATGATATAGCATTGGTGGAGTCCAATAGGGGTCTGCTGGTTCCAGTTAGGAGGAGGTTTGCTAAGAGCTGGTTGAGGGGCTTTGAACTCCCAGCAGCATCTTCATTTAAGAGCTGAATTGCTAATCCCAGATGGCCAGCAGAGGGCACCATTGTGCATAGAAAAATTCAATCTGTTTTGCTGGCAAAGGCTCAGGAAAGAAAGAAGGTGTGGACTTCACAGCCACTCCCCACCTGTTTCCTCATCAGTGTAACAGGGGTAATGAAAATTATTCCTCCTTCTTGAGGTTGTAACAGGCAATAAGAATAATACGTATCATCTAATGAGTTTCACTCTAGGCCAGGCATATGCTTAAAGTATTTACATGTTTCAACTTATTATACTGTCCCAGTGACTTAATGAGGCAGCTATTATTAACCTCCTTTAACAGATGAGGAGACTAAGGCATATAAGGCTAATAAATGTATCCAAATCCACATACCTAGATGGTTGAGGCAGAACTTGAACCCATGCCCACTGACTCCAAGGCCCATGATCAATAGGTATCAAATATTGCATATTAAAAAGCAAAGACATCCTTTTGCCAACAAAGGTCCATCTAGTCAAAGCTATGGTTTTTCCAGTAGTCAAGTATGAATGTCAGAGTTGGACCATAAAGAAAGCTGAGCACCAAAGAGTAGATGCTTTTGAACTGTGGTGGAGAAGACTCTTGAGAGTAGCTTGGACTGCAAGGAGATCAAACCAGTCAATCCTAAAGGAAATCAGTCCTGAATATTCATTGGAAGGACTGATCCTGAAGCTGAAGCTCCAATACTTTGGCCACCTGATACAAAGAGCTGACTCATTGGAAAAGACCCTGATGCTGGGAAAGATTGAAGGCAAAAGGAAAAAAGGGCGGCAGAGGTTGAAATGCTTTGACAGCATCACTGACTCAATGGACATGAGTTTGAGCAAACTCTGGGAGATACTGAAGGACAGGGAAGCCTGGCATGCTACAGTTCATGGGGTCTCAAAGAGTTGGACCCAACTCAGCGACTGAAGAACAACAACATTGGAATCTAAGTCTAAATGCTGTGTCACAGTCTCGCCTGGGCAGTGACAAGAATCCTCTTGGCTCACACCTCACTTCCTCTTCTGTACCTTCTGGTGGGCTGTGGTTCCAGAACTGTGAGTTCTTTGCACTTTGAATGTTTGGAGAAGGCACTGGTGACCTCCCTGCTGGCCCACCTGACACCTGTTTCTTGAACAGATACATGCTTGATGGTGACGAGGGCCTGTGGAGAGCAGAGTGGTGAAGCCAGCTGGGGAATTTGATCGTCTGGGCCAGGCTCCCAGGACCCAGGCAGAGCCGACCATGGTGATGTCAGGGTGGCAGCCACTTAGAGGCCATTTCTGTGCTGGGCTGTGGAGCGGTCAGCCAGAGTGCCCTTTGCTGTTGGCCAGCACTTGCCCAGAATCCGACAGTGCAGGCCAGCCTTGAAAACGTCTGCTCTCTAGAGGACAGGCTTGTGGACACAGCGGGGGAAAGAGAGGGTAGGATGAATTGAGAGAGTAGCATTGAAACATGTACATCACCATATGTAAAATTAGACAGCCAGGGGAAATTTGCTGTATGCTGCAGGCAGCTCACATGCAGTGCTCTGTGACAACCTAGAGGTGTGGGATGGGGTGGGAGGTGGGAGGGAGGTTCAAGAGCGAGGGGACATATGTATGCCTCTGGCTGATTCATGTCGATGTATGGCAGAAACCAACCCAATATTGTAAAGCAATTACCCTCCAATTAAAAGTAAATAAACTTTAAATTTTAAAAAGTAAGTCCATGGAGAAGGAAATGGCAACCCACTCCAGTATTCTTGCCTGGAAAATCCATGGACAGAGGAGTCTGGCGAGCTGAAGTCCATGAGATTACATGACTGAGCATGTGTGCATGAGGGCGGAGGGATATGGGTTGGTAGCAATAAACTGGTAGAACTAAAAAATTTTTTTTAAAAAGTCCAAAAAAATAAGATGTCTGCTCTCTTCTCTGGGCCTGGAAGCCAAGGTTGCCCCCCAGTTACAAGGGGTCTGCAATAACAAAGCTTCCTGTGAAGTCACAGGGCATAGTTTTTTGCTTGTCCATTTGTTAGGTTGTTCATTCATTCATTCTGTGGAGAACACAGTTTCCTTTACATACAAAGGCACAGTAAATTTGGGATACGTGCCCAAAATACACCTCTCAGGACTCATGCATACAGAGAGGTGACTGCTCGTGGCTGCGTAGACACAGAGTATCTGACCTAGTTGGCCTTCTGGGTGAATACATTTAGAAAATCTGCAGCACTTGCTCTCTCACCAACATTCTCATCCAAGCTGATGGCCCTCCTGCTCACTACAAGTGTCATGAGGGAAGATGTATTCCTAATTCTGCCATTGGCTCAGATTTTTTTAAAAAAAGTAACTGGGAAGTAAATTCACTGCAGACCCAGTGCTCTGGCTGCTTAATACAAATGATCTGGGAGGTCATCCACAGCAACCCCCTCAGCGATTGTGCAGACGGTGCGTCAAGTCTTGAGGGAGGCCCCGGGGAGAGGCAGATTAATGACTGTCCGGATGTGCCAATATTGACTTTTAAGGAACATCTTTAATCCTTGAGAACAACAGAGCCTCCTGATTCCCACTGTATTAAATAAGCAGAAGTAAGATTGATGGCCGTGTGCTGAACCCTAGTCGCTCGGCATAATAATAGAGCCACTCAGTCATTTTTGAGAGGACGTTGGCTGGCATTTGAGGTGTCTGAAGATGAAGAAGTGCTGGGTTGATCATCGTGATGTTTGTATTAATAATAACATCATCATAGGTGGAGGGTTTGCTTTCAAACTGAGAAGGTTCAAGTTCCCTATTCTCTCTATTGGCGCTCACCACATCCTATGAAAGGGCTTATGTTCCCATTTTTTCCCCTTAAAATGTTATATTCTTCTCCCCACTTATCAACAATGGGGAGAAACATTAATCCATGTTTATTGTAGGAATATCAGAACCATGAAAGAAACAAGGCAACAAAGATTACTAGGATCCCATCACGATTAATCATTATTAACATTATTATTTGTTAATAGTAACCATTAAATAACCATTATTTTATGTTTGTCCTTAAAATCTTTTTCTTCAGTCTTGATCCTATAATATGATCCTTTATATGTGTGTTGTGTGTTAGTCACTCAGTCATGTCTGACTCTTTGCGACCCCATGGAATATGGAATCCAGCCTGCCAGGCTCCTCTGTCCAGGGGATTTACCAGGCAAGAACACTGGAGTGAGTTGTCATTTCCATAGTGGAATCATACTGTGATCCTATTTTAGAACTTTCTTCTATCCCTTTTAATATATTTTAAACATCCTTCGTTATCATTAAGTAGTCTCCACAACATCCTTCATAATGTTTGCACAGAATTCTATTTCATGAATGTTCTACCATTTTATTAATAGCCGATTGTTTGACACCACAAACAGTGCTGCAGAGACCAACTTTATGACCACATTTGCATACCCATGAGCACTTTAGTAGGATAAATTCCTGGAAGTGAACTGCTGGCTCCAGTGGAATGTACACTCTAAGGTATGAATCACCCTCCAGGAAAATGTTCCCATCTCCTCTCCCTCGGGCAGTATGTGAGGGGCCCTGGCCTCACAGTCTTCCTTCACCTGGAGCACCCTCTAGCTCCATGTAGGAAAACCGACGTTCAGAGCAGTCTAGGGATGAGGCCAGGATTAAACAGCTGCCCAGGGATGAGGCCAGGATCACAGAGCTGTGAAGCGTCAGTGCCTGGACTTGAATGTGTGAGTTTCCAGATGCTGAACCTGGAGCTGCTGCTCTATAACCAGGATCCACACCCTGTGTTCCTCCACGCTGTCCATGCACCTTGAATGCAAGCCCGCTTGGTTCCTCAGGTCCCTCCCCCTTTCTATCAGCCACTGCTGGGGTGGGTGGTAATTCTAAATCACATTGCCTGCTTCCACGGCACAGATATGCCCCGAGGTGTCCTGAGCGTAGACAAAGGCACCGTGGTGTGGGATGAGCCTCTGGAGGCTGTGCTGCCTTCTGGGACTGGCTTGGCAGCCACAGTGACATCTGTAACATGCAGCTAGTGCCCTGCCCGAACCCCCGGGTTCACCGCAGCTGCAGTGGGTGCTCCCAGCACATGGGCTTCCCGCCTGGGCCTCAGGCCTCTCTGCTCCTCCAGCAGGGCAGGCACAGCCAAAAGAGCCGGGCATCCACACCCTGACAGGCAGCCTTCACCCAGTAGGGATGGAGGTGGTGCATACAGCCGTCTCCCTGTCCTCCGGCAGGACCATCCCCACGGACTGGCTAACGTACCACACAGTTTCTTGGAAGATTTCAAGCAGGATCAAGCCCCAGTTGCCTTCAGATTTAACTCACTCACTCACACATCCTTCGGTAGCTTTTCACCTTCTTCCACCTTCTGACTTCTTTCCTGGGCACACTCCCCACTGAAATTCATGCACTCAAGCCCTTGTCTTAGGGTCTGGTTTGGGGGACTCCCCAGCTGAGACAGCCCTGGTTCCCCTTCTCCTTCTGTGTTCCCTGTATGGATTGTTGTTGGTTAGTTGTTCAGTCGTGTCTGACTCTTTTGCGACCCTGTGGACTGTAGCCCACCAGACTCCTCTGTCCATGGACTTTCCCAGGCAAGAATACTGGAGTGGGTTGCGGTTTCCTTCTCCAGAGGGTCTTCCTGTCCCAGGGAGTGAACCTGCATCTCGTCCATTGCAGGCGGATTCTTTTCCACTGAGCCACCTGTGAAGCCAGCTGTTTGGGTCACAGTTTGCTAAACAGCTCTAACAAATGATTCCCAAAAGGCTTTGTGCAAACGCAGCAGAAATGTGTGCCTCTCACGCAAGAGTCCAGGGCGGGTCCTCCAGGGTGGGTCCTGCAGGGTGAGTGTTCTAGCTCGGCAGGAAGGGGATCTGATTCCCAGTCACACCGGGACCCAGCAGCTCTGCATCTCGTCCTGAAACCCCCAGGGGGCGCTAGTTGTCAACATCCCAGTCCCCGGAAGCGGTGGGAGCTTGGAGGAGAGCCTGGAACTGTGTGTGTGTCCAGGCAGGGAGGAGGCCACGTGACTCTACCCACGCCCCCTTCCCACAGCTCTCTGACTGTCTCCAGGAGAGGATCTGGTCTTGAGGCCATGCATACATGCTAAGTCGCTTCAGTGGTGTCCGATTTTTTTCGACCCTATGGACTGTAGCCTGCCAGGCTCCTCTGTCCATGAGGATTCTCTAGGCAAGAATAATGGAGTGGATTGCCATGCCCTCCTCCAGGGCATCTTCCCAACCCAGGGAGCAAAACCACATCTCTTACGTCTCCTGCATTAAGCAGGCGGGCTCTTTACCACCAGTGCCACCTGGGAATCCCAGTCTCGAGGCCACACTTAACTAAAAGAGAGGCTGGTGGGCCCCTTACCCAGTGATCATTCTTGACTGGACCAGGAGGAGTCTGCCCCACCCCCAAATCCACTTTGCAAACGAAGGAAAAACCGAGTGAGTGTTCACATAAGAGTCTGCTTGGAACACAGTTGCCTGATTTTGTGATTTTACAGTAAGTCTCCTACATACGAACAAGTTCTGTTCCAAGAGTGTGTTCATAAGTCCAACAACGTTAGCCTAGGTACCCAGTTAACACAAACAGCTATTCAGTACTGTACTGTAATAATAGGTTTATAATACTTTTCACACAAGTAATACATTAAAAAAACAAACAAAAAATAAACATTTTTAATCTTACCGTACACGAGTCCTGTACAAGAGCTGGCATACAGGGGCTGGCATTGAGTGAACAGGCAAGAAGAGGTACTGACTGAGGAGGAAGAGGAGGTGGGAGATGGTGGAGTTAAAGGATCGTTAACAATAGGAGATGGAGGGCAGGCTGCAATGTCACTCACGCCAGACATAGATGGAATATGTGTTCGCGTCTTTGAAAGCTCGCAACCATAACATTCGAATGTAGGGGACTTACTGTATTTCGTTTTTGTGTAATTTCAGGCAGTGGGGAGACTGGTGAGCTGTCCAGGTGAGCTGCTGCGGGCTTCCCAGGCACGGTCCCATGTCCATTCTGCGCTCCTCACCACCGGCTTCCCCATGTATTTCAACTACCAGCCTCCAGACCGCTTGCCAGGAGCCGTGGCCCTGGCCGCCATGCTGCAGGCCTTGGAGAAGCAGGCCTCCATGGTCGTCGACCAGAGAGCCTTGAGTTTGCACAAGAAGCTTGTTGATGAGGCTGCCGAGCAGGGTGAAGTGAGAGGACAGGGTCCCTCTACACAGACAAGCCTTTGTGGGTGGAGGTGGAGGGAATCAGCGTTTGTGGAACTTTCGCCCAGCACCAGGCACAGTGCTATGCACTTGACAGGGGCGTTTCCTTGACACTCAGAACACCCTTTGATATAAACTGTATTACCCCATTTTGGGCTTCCCATGTGGCACTAGTGGTAAAGAACCCAACTTCCAATGCAGGAGACATAAGAGACGTGGGTTTGATCCCTGGGTCAGGAAAATCCCCTGGAAAAGGGCATGGCAACCCACTCCAGTGTTCTCGCTTGGAGAATCCCACGGACTGAGGAGCCTAGCGGGCTACAGTCCATGCGGTCATTAAGTCAGATACAAGTGAAGCAACTTTCACTTCACTTTCGTCCCCATTTTACAGATGAAGAGACTGAGACTCTGAGAGGTCCAGGTGATTTACCCAGGTGGGGATGATGAGCTGGAATTTGAACCCAGGTCCACCAGACTCCATGATCCCACCTGTGCACGTGCCGCCCTATGAGAGGCAGGGGTGACCTGGAGAGGACACTCGGCAGCCCGGGACAACCCTAGACCCCCAAGTTAGGCGGTAGAATAGTCGAGGATAGAGGGGTCAAAAGACTGAGACAGCCAGGGCACAAGGCCCAGATGGGTGGGTTGCCCCGAGCTGCCCAGGTTCCCGGAGCACCCAGGTGGGCATCTGGGCCGAGAGTACCGCCCATGTGGGGCTGGGATGCTGGGGGCTGGGATGCTGGTGTCAGTGTGCTGGGACCGCTTCGGCCGCAGAGTGGACAGCTGCCGCTCATCACTCTCCTTTCTGCGGTGACTCTCGGGCAGCAGCTGGGGGCCTGGTGCCTCCAACCTGCTTCCCACTGTCTGTCTCTCTGTATCCATTCAAAATGCATCTTTCAGGGTTTCCCTGGTGGCCCAGTGGTTGAGACTCCACGCTCCCCATGCAGGGGGCATGGGTTCGATCCCTGATCAGGGAACTAGATCCCACATGCCGCAACTAACTGCAGGCTGCCAACTAAGAGCTCACATGCTGCAACTAAGCTCACGCCACAACTAAGACCCAGTGCAGCCAAATAAAGAAATTAAAAAAAAAAAAAAACCAAAATGCATCTTTCAGAGAAGTACTTTTGTCCTCTTAGCCTCTGAAAAGGACTCCCACCCATTAAGCATATCCTGAAGCACCTGCTGCATTCACTGTTCTTCTTGTTCAGCCACTCAGTCATAACCGACTCTTTGAGGCCCCGTGGACTGCGGCACACCAGGATTCCCTGTCTTTCACCATCTCCCAGAATTTGCTCAAACTCATATCCATTAAGTCGGTGATGCCATCCAACCATCTCATCCTCTGTCATCCCCTTCTCCTCCTACCTTCAATCTTTCTCACATTAGGGTCTTTTCTAATGAGTTAGCTCTTTGCATCATGTGACCAAAGTATTGGAGCTCCAGCTTCAGCAACAGTCTTTCCAAATGAGTATTCAGGACTGATTTCCTTTAGGATTGACTGGCTTGGTGTCCTTTTCCCTGCTATATTAGAAGCTGCGAAAAGGCTGTGTCTGGACATACAGAGTCCATTTCATACAACAAGTAGGTATTGCGTACCTACTATGTGCCAGGCACTATTTAAGGCTTTTGAGACCCATGGCTGAACCAGACTGACAACCTTCCTGCCCTCATGGAGTATATATTCTAAAGTGAACCACTCAGCCGTGTCCGACTCTTCGCGACCCCGTGGACTGTAGCCCACCAGGCTTCTCCGTCCATGGCATTCTCCAGGCAAGAATACTGGAGTGGGTTGCCAGTTCCTTCTCCAGGGGATCTTCCTGACCCAGGGATCGAACCCAGGTGTCCTGCATTGTAGGCAGACGCTTTAACCTCTGAGCCACCAGGGAAGCCCATATATTCTAAAGGAGACCATAAACAGCATAACAGCATAGGAAAAGAATACAGTGCGTACATAGAGTGTTAAAAGTTGAGACGCTATGGGGGAAAGTGGACCAGGACCAGGAGAATGGGGATCGATGGGCCAGGGGGTGGGACTGGGGTGGTGGGCTGCTCTCTTAAACAAGAAGGTCAGGGAAGACCTCCTGGAGAGGGTGCCTCCTTGAAGGGGATGCAGAAGCGAGGCCTGGGCCGGCTGCAGGAAGAGCGTCCCTGGCTGTGACAATGGCCATCGGGGAGAGTAGAGGCCTGGCAGGCTTAAGACAAGACAGCAGGCCGACGACCGGCCTGGAGCGGAAGAGGAGGAGAGGAGTGGATGGAGGTCACAGGGTCAGGTGGGGGAGGGGCTTGAGGGCCACTGTAAATAGCTGGGCTGCCCTGGAGCCACAGGGTGGAGGACGGTGGTGCCAGCTTAGGTTGCAAAGGATCCCCGGGTGGCAGCAGGGCCGAGGGGAGGGAACAGGAGATGGGCCAGGTTATTGCAGGCGGGAGATGAGAGGGGCGCCCTGTGGCCAGTCCTTCTGTTCCCTGGTGATTTCAGCCACAGCTGCGCTGCAAGCTCTGAGTCACACAGACCTGACCAGGCCCGTGCCCTTGGGGGATTCACCCAGCCAGGAAGTATGGGGGTTAATGCCTCCAGGGCCCCCTCAACCTGTGGCGGGTGAGAGTCAGGACCCACCTCCCCAACTTTTGGAGACATGCTGATCCCGGAGGAACTGAGACCCTGCAGGCTGGAGCAGTGAGCTTGGAAATGCATGAACCCTCCTGTAGGCTTCCCTCCTTCCTGTCCTCACGGTCCCTGCTCCCTCCTGGGCTCGTCTCTCAAATAAGCCACCTGCACCCAAGTCTTTGTCTCAGACTCTGGTTTCAGGGGACCCCAGAGAGATGAATGGTATGGGTGGAGGTGGTGAGAAGTAGCCAGATTGGTCTCTGTTTTTGAAGGTAGACTTTTGATTTCTAGCTGCGTTGGAGGCTGGGGTGAGACCGGAGAATGGAGATTGCTGGGAGGTTTGGGCAGGGTTACTGAGAGGATGGAGCTGCTGTGAACGGGGATGGGAAAGACTATGGAGCAAGCCTGAACTTGTGCGGTGTTGGTGGGGGTGTGAAAGGGCAGCCGCTGTGGAAAACAGTATGGTAGTTCCTCAAAAAAATTAAATATAGAAAATACCATATGATTCAGTAACTCCTCTTCTGGGTATATACCCAAAAGAACTGAAAGCAGGGACTCAAATAGACATTTCCATACCCATTTGCACACCCAGCTGTAGTGTTCACAATAGGCAAAAGGTGGAAATGCCCCAAGCGTCCATTAACGAATGGGTAAACACAGTTGGTCTATACAAACAATGGAATATTAGGCAGCCTTAATAAGGTAAGGACTTCTCTGGTGGTCAAGTGGTCAAGATTGTGCTTACAATGCAAAGGGTTCAATCCCTAGTCAGAGAACTGATATCCCACATACTGTGTGGCTCGGCCAAAAAATGGAAACAAAAAAAAAAGTTGAAAAAAAAGGGAAATAAATGTCTTTTAAAAAGGGAAGGAAATTCTGACACATGCTCCAACACAATGAACCTTGAGAGGATTGTTGTTAGCTGCTCAGTCATGTCAGACTCTTTGGGACCCCATGGACTGTGGCCCACCAGGCTCCGCTGCCCATGGGATTTCTCAGGCAAGGATAATGGAGTGGGTTGGCATTTCCTTCTCCAGGGGATCTTCCCGACCCAGGGATTGAACCTGGCATTGCAGGCAGATTCTCTTCCATCTGGGCCACCAGGGACGCCCACACAGAGTAATTAAAATCACAGGGACAAAAGGTAGAATAGTGATTGCTGGGGACTGGGCTGGGGAGTGGGCATGGGAGGTAGTGTTTAGTGGGTTCAGGGCTTCAGTTTGGGAAGATGTAAAAGTTCTGGGGATCGATGATGGTGATATTGCACAGTGATGTGAAAGTCCTTAATGCCAGAGAACATACTCTTAAAAATAGATAAGATGGTAAATTATATATTATGTATTTTACCACAATTATAATTTAAAAAAAATTTTTAAAGAGTGCAAGTTGAGTTCAGGTAACTGTAAGTGTGGGTACCTATTAGACTTGCAAGTTGGAAAGGCAGCAGGCAGTCAGATCTACGAGTCAAGTTCAGGAGAGCCGTCTGGGCTGAAAAGAGAAACTGTAGAGCGGTTGGCATATTGATGGCTTCAAAGTCAAGACGCTGGATGAGATCATGGAGGAAATGAGTGTAGGCTGAGAGCAGGACCCTGATGGCACCCTGGGACACTGCATTCCCGGGGTTGAGAGGAAGAGAGGGGAGCCTTCCTCTGAGAAGCACTGAAGGAGGAAGCACTCTGTTGTCACCGAGGAGGAGGGCCAGCCGGCTGCGCCCACTGCTGCACAGGTTCTCTTCCATCTGGCGGGGGGTTTCAGCTGCCCACTTTCTCAGATGTCACTCTGCCCTCCTGTTCACCTGACTGCCAAGCCTCAAGCTGGACCTCAGCTCAGAACTGGGTCTTGCCCAGTGGCAAGACCGAAGTGGCTTCGAACTTGGAATTCACTGTATTAGATTTTGCAGAATTTTTGTTTCGTGTGGATGGAGAAAGTGGAAACAATTTGAGCTTTTAATGACAATGATTTCCTATCTTTTTAGAACTGAAGCCTGGGAGATGTTTAAAGAAGAATGCTCAGTCATTGATTCCCAGCTTGGAGATAAAGTGATACATTGATTCTTTGCAGCTTAGGCGCAGGGTCTCCTCTTGCCCCGACCTTCCTTGCCCAGGGTTCTTTATCTTCTGTGTGGCCCCCTTGGGGATATGTTATGTTCCCCATCCTGTGAAGCTCTCTGGTTCCCTGTCTTACTAGTATCCTGTATCCTCTGTTCAATGTCAAAGAAACGAAGAGCCAGGCTTTACTCAGCACCTGCTTTTTGCCAGGCCCCCAGCCCAGTGCTTCACACACTGCACACCGCTGGGTCCACAGAGTCCTGGGACTGGGCATGATACACCCCATTCTGCAGAGGGGGAACTGCAGCTCAGAGAGGTTCCATGACTTGCCCAAGGTCACACAGCCAGGAACTGTTATTTGGCTCTGCTCAGCCCCCTTGCCAGGCCAACAGGCTCCCCCTCACAGCACACAGAGGAGCTGGGTCTTTCCGACTCATCATGACTGCCCCTCACCCCCGGGGTGTCATGTCACACACACTACTGGAGTGAGCCTTGTCAGTATCCCCTGATGGACCGACCGGCCTCCTTGTCTTCCCCCATAGAAGGGGAGAGGTGCTGAAGAGGGGGCACTTTAGGATCTCTGACAGCGGTCTGACTCCTCACCCTCAGCCTGTCCCATCGACTCACTGGAGTGGCAGCGACAGCTCCCAAATGGCTTGGGGTGATGACATGGGGGAGCTGGGGTGGGAAGCAGCTGTCTCAAGGCCATATGGGTTTTTCTATATAATTTTAATTTATTTTTTTGGCTGTGCTGGGTCTTTGTTGCTTTGCTCGGGCTTTTCTCTAGTTGCGGTGTGCAGGCTTCTTATCGCAGTGGCTTCTTTTGTTGCAGAGCATGGGCTCTAGAGCGCGGGCTTCAGTAGTCGTGGCTTCTGGGCTCTAAAGAACAGACTCAAGAGTTGTGGCGCACAGGCTTAGTTGATCTGCAGTATGTGGGATCTTCCTGGCTCAGAGGTCGAACCGGTGTTTCCTACACTGGCAGATGGATTCTCTACCACTGAGCCACCAAGGAAGTCCCAGCCATATGGTTTTAACATAGACAACATGCTTGTTTGGGTTGGCTTTATGTGAGGAGGTGAGGGGCTGGTGATGGAGCTTATGGGGGTGACCAGATCTCCCCCAAACTGCCCCTTGGCACCACTGCCGGGCCATGGAGCAGTCCAGGAGCCCCTATAGAACCAGCGGGACCATGAGTACTGGATCCACTCTCCCGTCCCAGGCCCTCACAAGCTCAGGCTGAACAAGACTTTATCCTGGACCAGCAAATGCACAGAGATCCTGCCCCAAACAGCTATGAGGGGTTTACTGAACAAAAACCCTTATCTACTTTATTTTATTTTGGTATTTGTGTGTGTGTCCCACATATTCTACAACCATATGTCTTATTATTATAATTAGAAAGTGTGCTATTTTTAAGAGTCAAGTTCACTTTGGAAATCACTTTGATGCCAGCAGCTAACTCAAGACCAGACTCTCAGACTTTTCCTCTATTTTCTTGAACTTCCCTGAAGATAGTTAGGGGGTAGGGCTGTGGAGCAGATGAGAACTTAAGTTGGGAACTAGAGTCATGACGCCAACCTACATACTTGACTTTGCTCAAATTATTTAGCATTTTTGAGCCTCAGTTTTCCTTCTCTGTAAAATGAGGGAAATAATAGTTCTTATACATAATTATTGTGAGAATTAATCGGGAGCATGGATGTCACATACTTAGTAGAGGGCTGGCTCTCTGTCACCGTGGGCACCTAAACGTGTCCCTGGCACGCACGACAGCAGTGGGTCAGAATAGACCTCTGATCACATGGCTCTCTGGACGTCCGTATGCAGCATCTTTGCTCATTCGCAAGACTGGTGACTCTAGCCTGACTCCACTTACATGCTGGCCAATTCTAGGGTTTACTCAGGACTAAAAGTAAATGTTTATGAGCCGACTCATTGGAGAAGGAAATGGCACCCCACTCCAGTACTGTTGCCTGGAAAATCCCATGGACAGAGGAGCTTGGTAGGCTGCAGTCCGTGGGGTCACTGAAGGTCGGACACGACTGAGCGACTTCACTTTCACTTTTCACTTTCATGTATTGAAGAAGAAAATGGCAGCCCACTCCAGTGTCCTTGCCTGGAGAATCCCAGGGACGGGGGAGCCTGTTGGGTTGCCGTCTATGGGGTCGCACAGAGTCAGACACAACTCAAGGGACTTAGCAGCAGCAGCATTGGAAAAAAACCCTGATGCTGGGAAAGATTGAGGGCAGGAAGAGAAGGGGGCAACAGAGAATAAGATGGTTGGATGAAATCATCGATTCAATGGACATGAGTTTGAGCTAACTCAGGAGATAGTGAAGGACGGGGAAGCCTGGTGTGCTGCAGTCCATGGGGGTCGCAAAGAGTTGGACACAACTGAGTGACTGAACAACAAGAAAAGTAAACTTAAGTATTCTCCGTGTCAAATCTTGGCTTATCTAGCAAAATATTCTACAGGTTGACGTCATTCAGTAATGGTAATGATGCTTTTTGAAGAAGCTCTTGAAAAGCCAACACTAGCGCTGATGGCTCCACCCTTTGCCTTTATTTCCAAGGCATTCTAAAGACGTCGATCCAAATATTAACTTACCAGGGCAGATCAGTAGGAGATGCTCAGGCGTTTCTGTGCAGAGACGGGGACCCCAAGTCACCCAGGCATGTGTGTCTCATCCCAGTTTAAGTGGGTGACAGAGGAGAAGCCCAGGTGCTGTTAACTTTGACAACAAATTATCTGCACACCTCAGCCCTCCAGAGAGGACACAGCCAGGAGCCCAGGGTTCTGATGGGCCAGACTCACCAATGAGGCACCGGGGAAGAGGGGGTGGGGGTGTTCAAGGTGTCTAGGGGATTTGCAGAGGATCTCTGGAAATCTCAAGTCTCTGAAAGGTGGCTAATAAATGGAGAAAATAGGAAAATTATTTTAAAAAAGATTAGCAGTTTCTCAAACTGAGTTATGACCTATTAGAGAGACGTGAAATCATTTCAGTGGGGGTTAACCAACACCTTTGGAAAATGAAATAGAAATATCGTTGCATTGCTTGTGTAGTAATGGTAAGTACTTTCTAGTGAAACTTTGTGTATTTTTTCACTGTCCAGTGGTCAGATATCTTGAAAAATACTTCTTAATTATATGCTCTTTCCTGTGTGCTTGTGCGTGCTCACTTGTGTCTGATTCTTTGCAATCCCATGGACTGTAACCCGCCAGGGTCCTCTGTCCATGGGATTTTCCAGGCAGGAATACTAGAGTGGGTTGCCATTTCCATCTTCAGGGAATCTCCTCAATCCAGGAACCAAACCCGTGTCTTCTGCATTGGCGGGTGGGTTCTTTACCACCAGCACCACCTGGGAAGCCTGTGATGTATATTAGAAATGCTTATATTCTCCAAATTGTTGGCATACAATCAAAGCTCTGGCAACTCAGAGAGAAACTAGAAAATTCTCCTGGGTGGGACCCCTGATGCCAGATAACACCAATGTTGCTCTGTTTGCCGAGTAGAGGGAGGTGAGCCCGGTCTGATAGTGGGGAGAGAGGATTTCGCTGTTTTTGGACAAGATTCATTAACTCTTCCCAGGAAGCAGTCTTCCCAGGACTCGATTACTTCCCACTGTAGTTAAATGGACACTTAGGGCCTAAAAACATCTATCCTCCTTCTCGTGGTATGAAACGAGTTCCCCAAAGGGAAAGTCCAGAACAGAAGATATATTCATCTCAACTGGAGCTCTTGTTCTGAACTGCCTTTTCATTACCATTGATGTAAGTCTAGCCGGAATCAGGGTCAGAGCTCCTTCCTCTTCCTGTTTCTGCTTCTCAGAAAAAGGGGCTGCCTTTTCCGACACTGGACATGTAGCCTCAGGACCACATTCTAACACCTACTCTGTGGCCTGCCATCCAAGCATACATGATACACCATCTTCCAGCACAACAAAAGGACATGGACAGGCATGTAGATTTTGTTTTTGTATTTTTTTAGTGGCTGTTCTGGGTCTGCGTTGCTCCAGAGCCTTTGGCGGTCACAGCGAGTGGAGGCTTCTCTCCAGTTGCAGTGTCGGGGCTTTTCACTGCAGTGGTTTCCCCTCTTTCGGAGCACTGGCTTAGGTGCACAGGCTTCAGTAGTTGCGGCTCACGGGCCTGGTGTCTTGCGGCATATGGGATCTTCCTGAACCTGGACACAGGGATAGAACCTGTGTCTCCTGCAATTGGAAGGTGGATTCTTTACCACTGAGCCACCACCAGGGAAGCTCAATTTTGTTCTTTTAAACATATCCAGAAAAAAGCACTCAGAGATCAGACTTTTTTATATTGTGTTACTGATGAAACATGCATAATGTAGATCTTTAACTATTTTTTAGTGTGTGGTTCAGTGATAGTAAGGTATATTCACATTGTTGTGAACTGTCACCACCATCTATCTCTTGAACTTTTCCATCTTCCCAAACTGGAACTCTGTCCCCACTAAGGAATAACCACCCCCCCGCCCACCCCGCCAGTCCCTGGAAACCACCATCCTACTTTGTGTCTCTAAGAATTTGATTATTTTAGTCTCCCACATAAGTGAAATCGTTCCGTGTTTGTCATTTTGGTGACTCACTTATTTCACTTAGCAAAATATCCTCAAAATTCATGCATGTTACACCATACCTGCCTCCTGGGAAAGCTGTATGCAGGTCAAGAAACAACAGTTAGAACCAGACATGGAAGAACAGACTGGTTCCAAATTGAGAAAGGAGTGTGTCAAGGCTGTATATTGTCACCCTGCTTATTTAACTTACATGAAGAGTACATCATGAGAAATGCTGGGCTGGATGAAGCACAAGCTGGAATCAAGATTGCCAGACCTCAGTCATACAGATTACACCATGCTTATGGCAGAAAGCAAAGAGGAACTGAAGAGCCTCTTGATGAAAGTGAAAGAGGAGAGTGAAAAAGCTGGCTTAAAACTTTCACTAATCAAAAAACAAAGATCATGGCATCACCTCATGGCAAATAGAATGGAAACAATGGAGACAGTGACAGACTTTATTTTCTTGGGCTCCAAAATCACTGCAGATTGTGACTACAGCCATGAAATTAAAAGACGCTTGCTCCTTAGAAGAAAAGCTATGACCAACCTAGACAGCACATTAAATAGCAGAGATATTACTTTGCCGAAAAAGGGCCATCTAGTCAAAGCTATGGTTTTTCCAGTAGTCTTGTATGGATGTGAGAGTTGGACCATAAAGAAAGATGAGTACTGAAGAACTGATGCTTTTGAACTGTGGTGTTGAAGACTGTTGAGAGTTCCTTGGATTGTAAGGAGATCCAACCAGTCCATCCTAAATGAAATCAGTCTGAATAGTCATTAGAAGGACTGATGCTGAAGCTGAAGCTCCAATACTTTGGCCACCTGATACAAATAACTGACTCCTTGGAAAAGACCCTGATGATGGAAAATATTGAAGGCAGGAGGAGAAGGAGATGACAGAGGATGAGATGATTGGATGGCATACCAACTCAATGGACATGACTTTGAGCAAGCTCTGGGAGTTGGTGATGGACAGGGAAGCCTGGTGTGCTGCAGTCCATGGGATCGCAAAGAGTCGGATATGACTGAGTGAACTGAACTGAAATGAATGACATGTCAGAATTCCCTTCCTCTTTAAGGATGAATAATGGCCCTTTGTATGTACAGACCAATTCTGCTTATTTGTTCATCCATCAGTGTACATGTGGATAGCATCTACCTTCTGCTTAATGTGAATCATGCTGCTACAGGTGCATCAATACTTCTTTGAAACTCAGCTTTCAATTCTTTGGGGTTTCAAAGAATACTCTGGCATCTGTACCCAGAAGTGGAACTGTTGGATCATATGGGTTTTTTGAGTAATCTCTGTACCGTTTTCCATAGCAGTTAAGATTTTAAAGAATTCCATCATGGGGGTATTTAAAGAGATATAAAAGTGCAATTTTCATGTTCTTAGATGATTAAAACGGTCTTTCTCCTAATCGTGATAGAAGCCACAACCACTAACACTGAGCCCTGGGTAGGTGTGGAGGTCCATGCTCTCATACGTTTTCTCACCTAACTCTTTCGAGACTGTATGAGGCAGGTACTATTGTTAGGTCATCTTATCTGTGCAGAAACTGAAGGTTCAAGGGTTTAACTACTCACCTAAGGCCAGCGGCATCAGGACCTAGAACCTACACAATCTGACTCCACAACCCACTTTCTTAACCACTGTCACATCTGTGCCCCTTCTTTCTCTCTCTCCTTCTGTCTAAAAAAGTTTATCTTGTATTACAGTCATCTGTCTTCCATTTCAATTCCTTTCTCGTCTGTTTTGAGGGCTTCACAGGTGGTACTAGTAATAGAGAACCTGCCTGCCAAATCAGGAGATGTAAGAGATGCGGGTTTGATCCTTGGGTCAGGAAGATCCCCAAGAGTAAGGAATGGCAACCAACTCCAGTTTTCTTGCCTGGAGAATCCCATGGACAGAGGAGCCTGGCGGGCTACGGTCCTTAAGGTCACAAAGAGTCAGACAAGACTGAAACAATTTAGTCTGTTCTGTGTCTGTAAAGTGAACAAGATCCTGGAAGAGGGCAACAATGGGCCAGTAGCAGCCAACACTCACCCCACTGGGTTTTGTCTGCCCTGCTGGTTAACAGAGACCTGGGTGGGGTACCAGCAGCGTCCACCACGGTGACCCTGACCGCCAGCCTCCCTGCTCTCACCGCCTCAGACTCTAACGCAGTGCTAAAGATTCTGATGCTCTTTCTCAAAGTGATCTGATAGGGAAACACCCAGCACAGGCTCTGGCACACAGTGGAGGTTCAACCAAGCTCTGCAGGAACAAAAAAAGAAAGAAGGGCCCTTCACGCACAAACACAGGAAAGTGTGATCCTGCCAGGCACCTGGCTCTCCACAAGGTCCCTGTGCCCTCGCCCCCTGGCAGGTTTGACCATCTGGTGGCGTTCGAGCACGTGGAAAGGGCTGCCACTACTACAATGCAAGGAAGAGGAACGTTGAACACTTGGGGGACCCTATTGATGACCTTTTCCTTAGTGCACACAAGATTCCTGGAATCTGGAATCTGGTAAGCAAGGAGCACTGAGAATTTGACAAGAAAATGTCAACACGAAATCCTTTTTTTACTGACTGTTGAACAAATGACAAGAAGGAGTTATATGGGACCATTGTTTTCCACTCCAGAAAGGGTCTTTGTTTATTCTGGTCGGTATGGGTAATAATGACTCTGAAATCCAGTGTTTATAAGAGCAGGAAAGGGAAATGACGTTTAACCGAGCATATTCTATTTGTCCAACTCTAAAGCATCAAAACTAATAATAATGACTACTAAAATCAAGGCCTGGCACATTATTTCAGTCATACAAGATGAATGCACCATATATGTTCTATGTCATCTTATGAAGTATATTAATTTTAAGTATATTTTAAATTCATGATAAGTGTGATAGTTCGATAGCTAATAATGTAATAATGTGATCATTTGTGTTTGTACAGAACTTTATAGTATTCAAAGAGGTTTCATAAAAAATTGTATTGATTAAGCCACTTTTAAAACCTGTATGGGACTTCCCTCGTGGTCCAGTGGTTATGACTTTGCCTTTCATGCAGGGGGTGTGAGTTTGATCCCTGGTTGGGGAGCTAAGACCCCACATGCCTCATAGCCAGAAAACCAAAAGAAAAGAGAAACAATATTGTAACAAATTGAATAAGAATTTTAAAAATGGTCCACATTAAAAAAATCTTCAAATACTTATTTAACAAAATAAATACATACATAAATCTGTAGGTAAGGAAGTTTCCGAAAGTGAGGCCTAGGGTGGTGTCTCACAGTTCCCTAGTTAATTAGGATAGGGGTCAGACTCTTGATGTCTCACCTGACATACTTCATGGGATCAGGTTACCTTTATGAATTTCGGAAAGGCTTGATGTATCTGGAACTCCAGCGTGCCTCCCCTGAGGTGGAAATCAGCCTGTGGGGGCAATTAAGGCGTGTTTGTCGTTCCATATTTACTTGTTCTCTGCATTCAAACAGTTCTGAGTGTTTCCCAGACTCATTAGATGCCTTTGGCTTTTTGAGGTTTTGAAGAGACAATGAAAGCCTTCCTGGCTGGGTAGAAAATTTCTGCCAGTCTCCCAGGTCTTTCCCAGAAGAGGCCTTGGGTGTGGTGCCCACAGCGAAACTGGCTTCCTCCTTTCCTGCCTCTTAGGGCCGGGTGGGCGAGGACCTGAGGCCTGGGGGGAAGCCTCCCGGGGTAGGATGGGGGGAAGGAGATTCTGCATTGGAAGGGACCCAGAGGGTCCAAAGGAGCCCTCACTTAATGGCCCCCTGGATCTGTGCGATTCCCCCTAATAAGGCCCCCAGGATCCAGGAGGAAGCAGGTGAAGCCTGATGTAGGCGCTCCCAAGCTACCGACTTTGTGGACCCTTCTCTTGGCCTCAGGATTCCCGGCCCCTCCTATGGCTGCCCAGCCCCCTGCTCGGCCCACTACCCCTCCCCGGGGTGCTTCTTTCTTTCCTCCATTCCATCAACACCCCGATTCCTCAGCTCCACAGGCAGTTGTCTTGTCATGGAATCGCACTCATCTGAGAATGAGGACACCCACCTCCCACTCACTACCTGGGCCCTGTCCTTCTCAGAGACCCCGTGGAGTGAGGAGATCAAGGGCACAGACGGGGCAGACCTCAGGAGTGAACAAGACGAATTTAAGATGCTGAAGGGCAGAGACAGGAACAGACAAGATACCAACGCTGTGTTGTTACTTTCTTTCGCTCAATGGGCTGTTGTGGATCTAGAAAACTGTTCTGAGAAAATTCCTCAGGGTGTGGACCTGAGGCACCTGGTCATTCACAATGACCAAAAGGTACCAGGTCTCTGAAGCCCCTAGTGAGCTGGCTCCAGACCTCTCTCCACCATCACAGCGAATTCTCGCCTCTGGTGGTTCTTCCACATAGTTGTAGAAACAGACACAAAGACCATCCTACAACAGGATGGGGGTGGTGGTGGGAGGGGGTGTAGGGGGCGGACCATCTGTCCTTGAGGCACTGGTGTAACCAGGAGGGGTTAATTCTGAATTTACGCTGGATCTGTGTGTTTAGCCATGTCTGACTATGAGCCCATCTACTGTAGATCGCCAGGCTCCTTCATCCATGGAATTTTCCAGGCTAGAATACTGGAGTGGGTTGCCATTCCCTTCTCCAGGGGATCTTCTCGACCCAGGAATAGAACCCAGGTCTCCTCCATTGTGGGCAGATTCCTTACCGTCTGAGCCATAAGCACCTTGGTGAACAGTTATCTAGAGGCAGCTGCAACCACCTTCTGGAGGCAGGATCAGCTGACCTCTAGTCTACAGAATCCTCCAGAAATACCTGGACGCAGGACCAGATGGTGTTCCTAGGGAGCCACCTGAAAGGATACAGGCTACAGGGCTTGTTATTAATAGATTTTTTCATTTTCTGGCAAAAGTGGCATTGCCTGGTAATTATTTTTAGTCAATTATTATTAGGCAATTATTTTTAGCCAATTCACCTATCTTAAACATCATTTATTTCACCAATGAATTAAATAATTTCCAACACTTACTTATTCTGACATATTTATTCTAGCATTATTATGCTAATTAACAAACCTTCTGGTGCCTATCAGATGGGTCTTTCAATTGTGGTCTCTTTCAAATGCTAACCGGCCACCCGTGGGGTGTGAATTTCTGATCAGGCTACTTTACATATTAACCAGGCACCCATCTGGTGTAAATTAAAATTAACTGACACACATACATTTCACATACTTGAGACAGAAGCCTTTTAATTACAGAATTGACTTAACAACCTATGCCAGTTCCCGTCTGCAAAAGGAATGCTGTCTGGTCAAACTAATGGGACTCAGGGTCTTGTGGCCCCACCTTGTACAGGAGCCACTAGAGAGGAGACCAAGTCCTGGGTGTCACCATCTCCCATGGACCTGGCTCCTTCAGCATAGAGGGCACTCCATCTGCGACCGGAGAATGTGATCTAAAAGGGGATACAGCCACACTGTTGAGTTCCAAACCTCTACTCATTTTTTATTAATTAATTAGTTTTTGGCTGCACTTGGGTCTTCATTGCTGTGCATGGGCTTTATCTAGTTGCGGTGAGCAGGGGCTACTCTCGAGTTAACGGTGCGTGGGTTTCTCGTTTCAGTGGCTTCTCGTTACTGAGCACGGGCTCCAGTGGTGCAGGCTTCAGTAGTTGGTGCTCAGGCTTAGAAACTGTAGCCCCGAGGCATGTGGAATCTTCCCAGACCAGGGATCGAACCCATGTTGCCTGCATTCGGGTGGATTCTTAACCACTGGACCACCAGGGTAGTCCATCAACTTGTCTTTGTTTAATTTTTCTTTTTAATTTTTAATTTTTTTTCCCATTTTTTATTAGTTGGAGACTAATTACTTTACAATATTGTAGTGGTTTTTGCCATACATTGACACGAATCAGCCATGGATTTACAAGTATTCCCCACCCCGATCCCCCCTCCCACCTCCCTTAATTTGTAATTGACGGATAATTGCTTCACATTGTGTTGGTCTCTGCTGTACGTCACCATGAATCAGCCATAGGTGTGTGTATATGTCCCCTCCCTCTTGAACCTCCCTCCCACCTCCTACCCCATCCTGTTACTGGCCCAAATCTTGGCTTTCTCTGCCCACCGAAGCCAAGTAAAAATTGGCTTAGTTCTTTGGTTGGGTCACCCAGACAATCCCCACCCTCAGGCCTCTCGAGCTTGTCTTCTTATTACAAACACCTAGAATCTTCTGAAGATGCTTGGGTCTACTGGAAACATGGCTTATATCACATTAAGAAAAAGAGAAATTATGCTATGAGGAAATGTATGTTTCTAGAAACAAATTATTTCTAATAATACTTGTAAAAATACATTATACATTATGAAATGTATTTGAAATTGCTGGTGTAACAAACAGTTTACAATTGCTTACCTCTTTGTTTTCACTAGAAATTAAGGTTTCTAAGGTTTCCCTGGTGACTCAGATGGTCCAAGAATCTGCCTGCAATGTAGGAGCCCCGGGTTCAATCCATCCCCGACTCAAGGATCAGGGATCGAACTTGAGTCTCCTCCATTGCAGGCAGATTCTTTCTTGTCTGAGCCACCAAGGAAGCCCCATATGTACCATAAAACTACTAAAATAAATAAGGAAAACATCTTCATATGTAAGGAAAAAAATTTTTAAAGTATAAGGAGTGGGAATGCATTTTGTTAAGGGAAAATAAAGTAAAAAGGTTAAAAAAAGAAGGAAAGCATAGGACAAAATCTGAATATTGGAGGAGGTGGAGGGAGTTATAGAAAGTTTATGGGAAAGGAACCCTGAGAAAAGAGTTCTCTGTGTGATCAGGACTGGCTAAGATTAGAGTATATTTAATCGGACTTCCCTGGTGGTCCAGTGGCTAAAAATCTGCCTGTCAATGCAGGGGACAGGGATCTGAGTCCTGGCCGGGGAAGATCCCACGTGCTGTGGGCAACTAAGCCCACGCATCACAACTACTGAAGCCCTCAGTCTAGAGCCTGTGCGATAAGAGGAGGCGCTGCACCGCAACTAGAGAGTAAGCCCTGCTCACCGCAGAGAAAGCCTGTGCGGCAACGAAGACCCAGTGCCGCTAAAAATAAAATAAAAATAATAAAACTTTTTAAAAGTAAGCCAATACAAAATTAGAATCCTGTTTCCCCTCTGTATTAAAAAGACAAAACTTGACAAAGAATTAGTAAAATGTTTTTCTTTACTTTTGAGTAGCCTGTCTACAAAGAAGGGACTTTCTGTTTTATCAAAACAGTTTCCTATATTGTTTTTATTAGGTCTTTGATCATTCGTTTGGCCCCAAATCCGTGCTCCCCAAAATCCAGTTTTCTTTAGCTGAAGATGGTATTGTGTGTAAGGTGAGGGCTTCAGCCGTTTTTGGTTCAGCCCTGCTTTTCGGTTCTCCTGGGTTTCTCCCGTGTATACGTATTATTAAACTTCTGTTTGATTTTCTCCTGTTACTCTATTGCATATCAGTTTAACTGTTAGACCAGTCAGGAGCACCTAGAAGAGCAGAGGAAAATTTCTTCCTCTAAGGCAAACCACATGACTTTCCAATCCTATGATGAAATCTTTTTTTTGTTCCAGGTGATTCTAACTGGGGAGGTCATTATGCCTTGACCTGTACTTCCTGAGCTGTGTGAGGTCCACAGGCGTTACCGGAGGAAAGTGACTGGGCCCTTCAGACCACCTGGGGAACAGAACTGGACCCAGGCCCTCCCATCTGTCACTAAGGTAATGTAGCCCAGCAAACCACTCTCGGGGATGCAACTTTTCCTCCGGATGAAGAGTAGACATGGTATTTCAAGCCATAAGCCAGGGGCCAGCACCACTGAGGAAAAAAACTCCTGGAAATTGGGAACCAGGTCTTTCATATCTGCTTTCCCCAGCAACCAGTGGAGGGAAACCCAGTGCTTAATAAATCCTTGTTGAATGAATGAATATAGTGTTTTATTAGAGCGGTGATTCTTTCAACTCTAGAGGCATCAGCATCGCCTCAGGGGCATCTTAAGCCGCCCAGGGTGGGGGGCAAGTGGGGATCAGGGTTCCTGATTCAGGCGATCTGTGTTGGGCTGGAGAGTCTGCATCTCTGACAAGTTCCCAGGTAACGCTGCTGCCTCTCCTGCCTTGGGGACCACCCTTCGAGACCCTGAATTAGAAGGTTGGTTCCCAGCATTGTGGAAGAGGCTGGTGTGGGGAGATGGGAAGGCAAATCAGGAGGCAGGAAGGTTCCTGAGCATGGAGCCTGGAGACAGCAGCTGAAGTGGGCTGGTGCTTTGCACATCCTCTAGCCAGCCAGCTGAGGCCCCGGAGACCCTCACCAGTGAGAAGCATTAGCATCCAGAGGCCCTCGCTGCCTCCTTCCTGTCCTGCCTTTACATTGTCTTGTAGCTTTTCTGCTCCCTTTCTCCTTCCACCTGTCTTTTTACTCTCTCTCTCTCTCCCTCCTGTGTGTGTGTGCATGCTAAGTCGCTTGAGTCTTGTCCTGTTTGCAACCCTATGGACTGCAGCCCACCAGACTCCTCTGTCCATGGAATTTCCCAGGCAAGAATACTAGAGTGGGTTTCCATGCCCTCCTCCAAGGGATCTTCCCGACACAGGGATCGAACCTGCATCTCCTTTAGCCTTTAGCATTAGCAGGTGGATTCTTTACCATTGAACCACTGGGGAAGCCCCTCCCTGCTACCCCTGCCCCCTTTTCTCTCCAGCACCTCCCTGGACTGGCTTGTTATCCCCCTTTTACAAAGAGGGAAGGTGGCTTGCCCAAAGTCACCCGACCAAGAAGCAGAGCAGAGATCTGGCTCTGGATCTCTGACTCCGTACTCTGGGTCCTTCCCAATGAGATGCAGAAGTTTCCAGTTCCTAGCAGTGCCAGGGTGCAGGAGGGGAGCGGAGGGGGAGTCAGGCGGCTGAAGTGACATTTTCAGAGGAAATGCTCTGCTCTAAAGGAGCCCAGGGAGCCTTCTCTGCTTTCTCTGCACTTCCTGGATCTGAACTGGAAAAAAGCACTCAGAGAGCCATCTCGCACATGATTTCTGATTCACACAGACACAAAAGACTGAACCCGGCCAAGCAAGCTCACACAGCCCCACACTTACCCTCTGGGGATGGAACTTCTCCTTCCAGATATCCAACAAATCTTTCATAAATATATTAATAATGCGCCGGCCTTGATAAGAAAAGGAAACATTATTATAGCAAAATTACAAGCACTGTTTCATATAGCCCCTTCTCTGGGCCTGGCCTGAGCTTGCTCTGGAGACAATGATGGAGGGGTACAGAACTCAGGGTCCACGAGCGGAGGTGATTGCAGGAGCTTGGGTAGAAGTATGCATGCTGCTTGTGAGGATACAGAGAATAGGTGCTTGGCTCGTTCCAAGAGCTCAAGCAAGCCTGCCGGTAAGAGGCGGCTCTGAACTGGGTCTTGGGGAGTGAGTAGGATATAGAGCCAGGTGAGGAAGGGTAGGAAGGAACTTTCAGACAGCAGGACACACAGAAGGGAAGGTGCAGAGACATGAAGCAGTGCAGGGGGTAACTGGAGACATCATACTGGAGTTCTGGGTGTCACTGGGACCCCAGGGTCATCAAGAGATGCCAGACAGAGCTGTGGCCTGAGCTTTGGTGAAGCTCGGCTGGTTAGATGCAGAAGAATGTCTCTCTTCTCTCTTCTTGCGTTGCTTATAAGAAGGGCCTCCCATACACAGGGGATCTGATCGTGACTGTAGCAGAAGTGGGCACCATGTTGAAGAGCCCGGGGAAGGTTGGCACCACCATCCAGGGCACACCCTGCCCCCTCTGGCCCTTGGCTGTGCCCCAGGGGTTTTACTTGAGGGCAAAACAAATGGTCAGAGGGCATTTCCCAGAGCTTGTCAGGAGCCAAGAGCTGATTGATGATGTCTTACAGGAAGACAGGAAAGGAGGGCAGGACAGACTGCTGGTGGGTTGGCTAGCCTGATGAATGGATAGATTTATAGCCTAATGGATGAATGGATAATGGATGGATGGATGATGCAGAGAGGCAGGAGAGGCCTCTAGCTCTCATTCTCTTCCAGCACTTTCATCCCACTCTACTTTAAATCTTTAAAAAAAAAAATGAGATATAACTAACAATTTGCATAACCTTAAGTGTACAGTGGGTGAATTTTTACATACCTGTGTAAAAATTTTTACACCTGTGCAGCCACTAGCAAGGTCATAGTGTAGAACAGTTCAGCTTCCCAGGAGGCCCCTCTCTCCCCTCTCTCCACCCCATTCTGAACAGCAATATCACCTAACCATGAACATCAGCCCATTATGCTCCAAGCCTGAATCAATAGTGACCACCCACATACTCAGCCTCTAAGCCCAAAAGTCATCCTGGGGCTTCATCCCCCATCCACAATTAACCAGGCCCTGGATCCAGTCCACTCTGCCCACTTGAGTCCTCTGTCCCTCCACTCCCACCCCTCTGTCTCAGTCTGGACTGGTGTAGAAGCCCCCAGATTCTCTGCCTCCAGCCACTCCCTGGTCAGTTCTCTTCCTCCACCCACCCACCCACTCTTGGCAGGGCCTCTTGAAGATGGTGTGGTCATTCGGGGATTCCCGGGAATTTGCAGGCCTTCATGGTTGGTTCAGCTGGTCCCCAGGGCTCTTAGAGGCTGAGTGCCAGCCAGTTCCTGAACTGTTGACTGATCACGTGCACCCTGAGGATCCTCAGGGCCCTCCCTGGACCAGAAGGATGTGAATGGTGAGGGCAGGCAGGGTGCGGGAGGAAATGGTCCCATGGTCCCAGAAGCACTGCCCTGTAAAGAGTGGATATGATCCAATGGAGAAGAGAAATGGGAGAATAAAGTCCAAACAAATGGCAGAAAATGCCACTCTGGGCTGGGTACCCCTGGGCAGGGGCCCTTGGACAAAGGGCTTGCCTGGAAATGCTTTTGCGCCTCCCTCCCACCTTGGTCCCTTGGGAAGAATGGACATGCAGGTTCTCAGGCCGGTTGCCAGTGGAGACAGGCCCTCAGTTACATTTGCCGACACTTGCCTCCCGTGTTGAAAAGTTTTCATGGGACTTCTCTGGTGGCCCAGTAGCTGAGGCTCCATGCTCCCAATGCAGGGGGCCCAGGATTGGATCCCTGGTCTGGGGACTAGATCCTGCATGCCACAGTTAAGACCTGACACAGCCAAATAAAGTAATAAATAAGAATCTTTAAAAAGAAAAATTTTCAGTGAGTGGCCTCCATGGCCCCTGGCTTGGCTAACTCCTGCTTTTAACACCTGTGGTCCTAGCTGTCCCTCATCCAGAAAGTCTTTCTTGAGCCACTCCAATAAATTGGGTTGGGTGCCCCTGCTGTGTGCCATGGTCCCCATGGACTCTGCTTGCCTGATCACTCATCTAGAATGTGATACCTCTGGGGGTGAGGTGGGGGGCAGGGGCTGTATCACATTCACCACTGTATCCCTGCTTCAGGGCCTGGCACATAGCAGGTGCTCAGTAAAACTTTGATGGGTGATGGAATGAAATGTGCAAATGTCTGATTGTGAAGATGAGCGCCTTCCTGATGTGTCTCCTAATCTTCCTGTTCTAGATCCCTTTGTCCCCTTCCTTTGTTTGTGGAGGAGAAGGAGAGTGTACTTGATTTCTTCCCCTCAGGGACCTCTCTCCTGTGTCTTCACCTAAGATCCTCCTTTCTCCGGGGAACCTGAACTATTTAACAGGGAGAGACATGTTAGTAGCTTAAACAAGTGCTTCTCTGGGACCTTGTTTTTGGAGAGAGGTAGAAGGAAGCAAAGCAAATCACTTAAAAAAAAAATCAGCAAGTAAGTCAAAGGAATACAGTTCTGGGCAGAAGGCCAGGGGCCCCAGCCCTGCTGACGATAATCCACCTCATTTCATGAGCACCTACTGTGTGCCAAGGACCATGTGAGGTGCTTTACTTGCATTATCTCATTTAATCTTCACAACAACCATCCAAGGAGGCATTGTTACTATCATCCACCTCCCCATTATACAGATGAGGACACTGAGGCAGAGAGAGGTTGACACCTCTGCCAGGAAAGACCCAAGTCAGATCTGGCTGATTGCAAACCATTCTGCCTGCTGGGCCCAGGATGGGGCTGCATTTTCTCCATGGTTCTGCTCCCTCAGCCACACGGGGGTAATACCCAGAAGGTGACTACAGTGAGATCTGGTCCATCCCCCAATGGAGGCTAACAGTGGGGCTACAGGAGGAACAGGGGCCATCCTGGCACCAAAGCCATCGGCAGATAATGCAGAGCTGGGCAGGGCTGGCTTGGCAGGAAGTAGGCATGCTGCCCCTGCAGAAATGAATCTGTAGTGTCAAGAAAATGGAGATTTCCAGAAAAAGCATACTATTTAGTTACATGAAGAAACAGCCCAAACTGTTCAAAGTGGCAGGTTCTGGAGAGTGGATCTGGGGGCCCACGAGGCATGATGTAGGACGCAGTTAGTTTTCACTATGAGTCTTCCAGTGGCATTAGTATTTTTACTCAAAGTTTTATTTTTAAAAAAGAGACCATGTCAAGTCAAATGCTCTTTTTCCACTTATAAATGTAGGTTGTGTTTTTTTTTTTTTTTTTCCATTTTTTTTCTCCTTCTCCACTACTTTTATCTCTGTACCTTTTTTTTTTTTTTTTTCCAGGAAGAAAAACTGCCGGGCGTTCTGGTGCAGCATGGAGTCTGGAACAGACTCTCAGGCACCCTGGGCACAGAAGTGTACAGGCTGCTCTTCCATGGCACTCATGCCCAGATGACCCAGAAACGGATGGGCATCATCCTGCCGTAAGGCTGACCATGCCCATTACAGATGTGGGAGTTGGGGACCAGATGGTTCCACCTGGTTCTAGGGAGGAGCTCCCTGAGGGTCTTGGTTTCCTTCCACAAGAGTTGTGCAAATAAACACCGGCCCTGGTTGAACAATGTGCTCCACACAGTCCTGGGTCACTGCATGCTCCCCTCCTGGGGATGTGGGGGTCATGGTAGTGATGAGGACCAAGGAAAACAGTTCTCTGGGGTTCCCAGTTTTTGCTTTTATTCCTAGGAGGCCTTGATTCCAGCCTCCTCACCCCAGCCTCTTTGGGCCACCCATGTGGTCTGGAACTGTACACAGTTAATTTTATTATCAAATAATAAAATTTTATTATCAAATAATTGGTCTTCTGACCAATCATTAATGGGGATGCCAGGGAGCAATGAACTGCCAGGTAGACATAGAGGGCCCTGAATAATCCCTCTGGTAAATTAAGAAACAGAAAATATACAAATGGGTATATTTTGTAATACCCATTACAAAATTCGAGGGTTCACTAAAGGTTTACTCATCACTACCACTGACAAAATATTTATACATTGGAAATGCTCTCTTTTTCAAACAGCATTTCATTTATTTAGGCAAAAGATCCCTCAAAACTTACATTTATCATCGTCACCTCTCCTCTGCCCCTCCCTTTTCCTCACCACTACACGTCCTAAGACCCCACCGCAGAGCCTGACACATCTCCTGCCTCCTTCCCATCTGTTCACCCGCCATTCTGAAGCCAGACTCTAGCCTTCTTGCATAGGAGGGCAACCACATTCCCAGAGCCCAGGACCTTCCAGGGCTTAGATCACTCACAGAGTCCTGGACAACTCATCAGCTTGTCCTTATCTCCTGCACAACTTCCCACTGTACATGCCCCAAGAAAATCCAAAGCAGAGTCACTGACCACATCCCATTACATTCCCATATTGAATCAGTACAGTGTCTTGCACTGGCTTATCTAGGTGTGGTGGTGTAAGCAGTTATTTGCAAGAAAGAGATCTCTGCAAGAGGCCCCTTTTGTCTTGTCGCTTTAGCAAAACTATATTGTAAGTAATGTTAAACCAGGCATCTATAACATTCTACTCATCTCTGACCCAAGCACACCTTTCAGATCTTTTGCTCACATAATACCTTGCCTAAGCTGTTGGTTCTTCCCTAGATCAAAGAAGTAAACATGCAGAATAATTAACAGATGACCCGATCATTTCCCAGCTTCCCTTTGAGTAATCTTGAGAACAAACTGCGTCAATAAGATAGCATCTAAATAAAGACCACAGGAGTTGGTGAGCCTTCAAGCAGTGGGAAATGTCTTATGAGTCTGATCCCTTTTCTCAATGATTAACTGAAATTACTTTCCCCTTTCCCTTTAAAAACTTTCAAGCCTGAGCAGCATCTTCAGTATTGGTTTTGAGGACACTAGTCCACCTTCTCTCCAGATGGCAGGCTTTCTGATTAAAAGCAACATTTCCCATTTCTACCAACACTTGCCTGTTGAGTATTGATCTTTGAGCAATAAGCAGCCAGATTAGAATTCAGTAACAGTAGTCCTTTCCAGCTAGGGCCCCAAGTGTTTATTGTGTCTGTTTTATTTCCTTAAACATGTCAAGTTTGATTCTTTTAGGAGTATTAGTTGTAAAGCATGGAACACATACTGTAGAAATTGACTCTAAATTGTACACTGAACAGTCAACCCTAAGTGTAGAGTTCGGTGATCAGGGGTTAACTTGCAATGCTGCCTATGCAGGATGTGGTCAAGTCTTTGGCCAGGAGTAGCTGGGGTGGGGACTGTCCTGATGTCCCTTTGTTATTCTGGTGGGGAGTCCCCACCTATGTGTCTGTAATCCTGCTGGGGTGGCATCAGGGCCATTGTAATGTGCTCATAGTCCCTGTCCAACTGTGACTTCTCAGGTCAGTGGTCCCACCTCAGCTCTAAGCCTCCCTGGCCAGGTCTCCAGTTACAATTTGCAGAGTCTGGGTCCGCAGAGCTCCATGTAATGGGGGCCTCTGACTGAGAGTGCACCCTGGCATTGTTGAAATCCGGATGGCTAGAGAGACAGGAAACATCATCTGCAAAGGCTGCCAGCATTCTTCTGACTCATATTTTAGGGGAATACACTAATGGGCCTTTGGTTTTGCAAAAGTAATAGCAGAATTCTATTCTGCCTGGAGAAGTCTGAGGCATGACTGTGTAATAGGTTATCTTCCCTGTGGGCAGAAGTTTATGGGGAGATGATTAAGTTGTTTGGGAAAGAGACTAAGACCTAGGTGGAGCCCAGAGAAGGCTGAGAATGCAGGTCCTAGGTTGGGAGTGAAGAATCCAAAGCCCCGACCCCCACCTCCCATGCAGGGAGAGACAGGCTTGTGGCCCTACAGTAAGGGCTAAGGTGGAAGGAAGGGCCAGGAGAAGACTTAGCAGGATCCGGCTCAGGGACCATTGGAGCACTGAGCTCTAGGATCCAATTTTATGCTTTTATGTTCCACAATATGATTCCTGCTCTGGTCTTTAGTAAAGTTTTGTCATTTCACCATAGTCATCTTTTGTCCTTTGGGGAGGGACCTGTGTCCACATCTGAGGTGGCGTGGCGAGCTTGGCTGTGACCTGGAGAAGCTGGTTACAGGGGGACAAGAGGTTACCTACAGGAATGATGGGGAGGCCCAGGGTGAGAGATGAGCTAGGGTATCAACCAGTCAATCCTAAAGGAAATCAACCCTCAATATTCATTGGAAGGACTGATGCTGATACTGAAGCTCCAACATTTTGGCCACCTGATGTGAAAAGCCAATCATTGAAAAGACCCTGATGCTGGGAAAGATTGAAGGCAAAAGGAGAAGGGGGCGGCAGAGGGTGAGATGCTTAGATAGCATCACTGACTCAATGGACATGAGTTTGAGCAAACTCTGGGAGATAGTGTAGGACAGGGAAGCCTGGTATGGTACAGTTCAGAGGTCACAGGGAAGTCGGACACAACTTAGCAACTGAACAACAGCAACAATCCACCAGGATGGATTCCTGGGGCATATGAGCATCCCTGGGCACTTCCAAGAATATCGAGGGCAGATCATGATAAGTAATACCCGGATCTCTGTGGGTCTTCAAGGGAAGGCTGGAACTTCAGACCTTGGGTACATTGAGGTGCACATGCCGCTCAGACTCTGCAGGTGGGACTGGAAGATAAGCAAGCCAGGGATCAGGGCTCCTTAGCCCCCGTGGCCATTCTCTGGCCAAGTGCCACCCATTGCTCCACTAAGCAAGGCAATCCTCTGAAGTCATTTCCTGCCTTTCATTGCACAGGCTCTGCTGACCACCAGCTCCACCTTAGTCCAGCCCACTACATTCTACTACTCTCCACCTATTCCATGTGGGTTCCACTGGCTCTACAAAGTCTAACTTTCAGATTCAAAAGGCCACTGCTCAGAAATTCCCCAGAAGTCCAGGGGAATTTAGCACTCACTTAGCACTCACTGCCAGGGGCCTGGGTTCGATTCTAGGTCAGGGAACTAAGATACCGCAAGCTGCATGGCATAGCCAAAAAACAAAACAAGACAGACCAACCTAAAAAGCCACTGCTCACATAAACTCAGTACATTTCAGTGATGTGATGTGCTTGTCAGAGAGGCCATTGCATCAGTAGAAGCATAGTGAGGTAACTGATCTGTGTCTCCTCAGCACAGGTTGGACAGATCTAATCTCGCTTCAGATCCAAGCATCACATTTGAAGACGTGGGTGTTGTTCAGATGAGGTACAGGAAGGTGAACGCTTAAGTGGAGGTGTTAAGCGGAGCTGTTAAGTGGAGGTAGCTTGAAAAGCTGTGTGTCTGTGACTGGCCAGATGCTCACAAATTCTGCTTCTTCCTTCACACACAGGAAAACTACATTTCCCAGCCTCCCTTAGAGTTATGTTGGGGCCATGTGACTGAGATCTGGCCAGCAGAGTGTGAGTGGCGGGAATACTAACCACATTCAGATTTCCCATAACCCCCTTGTGAGATTCTTTTCGTCCTGCTTTCCCTACCTGTGTGGATGGAAGAGGAAGACGCCAGGTTGAATCTCTTAATGCATGAATCCTGAGTCACTGCCATCACTTGGGGGGAAAAAAAATGCCAGAAAGTAGTTGCTCATCTGACCCTTGCATGAACAGGAGATAGACTTGTATTGTTTTAAGGCAGTATGATTTGGGGGTATATTTCTTATTGTAGTATAATCCAGCCTTGTCTAACGCAAGCTTTGGAGATTTAACACTGAGGAGTAGCATGTGAGAGTTGTATCTAAAGGTATCTAAAGGGCTTCCCTGGTGGCTCAGAGGGTAAAGAATCTGCCTGCAATACAAAAGACCTGGGTTTAATCCCTGCGTCAGGAAGATCCCCTGGTGAAGGGAATGGCAACCCACTCCAGTATTCTTGCCTGGAGAATCTGATGGACAGAGGAGCCTGAAAGGCTACAGTCCATGAGGTCACAAAGAGTGGGACACAACTGAGCGATTAAGAACACACCCACACCAGTACCTAAAGGGTCACTTGACTCCAGAGGCCAGAACTAAGTGAGAAAAGTGCTTCCACTTTGGCTCATTCAGAATTAAGATTTTCTGCCCAACCTTGGAATGACTTGTGTTGGATAGTAGTGAGTTGGTATCCATGGTATTATTTGCAGAGAAACTGGGCTATCATTTTAAATGGTGAAGGGAAACCTGGCATGCTGCAGTCGTTGGGGTCACAAAGAGTTGGACCCAACTTAGTGACTGAACGACAACAGGGGATAATTCACAGCGAAGGAACTGGAGATCATGACCTCTGTGGGACTTCCAACACTGTAATCTATGTTAATCTACCAACATCTTTCTTATATTTGTTGACCCACCATTTCCCCAGAACACTGGGCACCATTGTGACCCCAGGGTTATTGCCATCAAAGACCATCATCTTGCCAGATGAATTCCTGGAAGCTGCAGGATCACCAGCTGCAAGAAGCACATTTTTCAAAAAAGCACTGAACCAAGAACGGCCAGATTCTGGCTCTCTCTTGATTGTACCAGCCAGAGAAAAGCAGCAGATGGAATGTATTTTGTGCTGCAAATTTCTCCCACACTTGTCTAGCCAACCCACAGACCCGTGTGTGTAAACAGGAAGATGAGCCCTCATCTTGCTAAGCAACACTGGTGAATGAGAAAGGAATCTAATGGCTCTTGCCATCTCCAGTCCAAACCAGATGGACCTTTTCTTCCCCCCACTTCTCTTAGGAGAGGAAGAAGTCTTAATCTCTAGTAATACCTTTAGGCTGTCTGAAGGATCGATTCTTCCGGAGCACTCCAGAACTCCAGGAATCTGACCCAGGGAGGGATTAAGTGACTAAAACCAAATTTGCTTTTTAACATGATGCATTTAATCCTGTGATAAACACGCAGTCCACCAATGTTGAAAAGATGCTCCAGCTTAAAAATGCTGATCACTAAATGGGGGGCTCCTCAAACAAAATCCAGACTGTGAGGATAAGGAGAGCCCCCGAGAGGTGGGTACAAGCAGTGTTCCTGCTTTGGCAGTTTTCACTAGTGAGGAGAGGACAGTCTGATCCAGCTCTCTCTTATTGGGTGTTGTGCTCAGTCATGTCTGACTCTTTGTGACCCCATGGACTGTTGCCTGCCACGCTCCTCTGTCTGTGGACTTTTCCAAGCAAGAATACTGGAGTGGGTTGTCATTCCTACTCCAGGGGATCTTCCCAACCCAGGGGTTGAATCCACAACTCTTGCATCTCCTGCATCGGCAAGCAGATTCTTTACCACTAGAGCCACCTGGAGTAGGACAGAATGGGCTCCTGTGTCCAAGAACAGGGAATGATGGTCTCCAAACTGCAGGGCTGAGGTGCATCCCCAGAGTCAAGGGGTGACCAAGTTAAGTCCCAGAGTGGACTTGCAACAATGTGCTGCAGCATTTAGCACACTTCATGAATCTCAAGAGGACAGAGAAAAGCCTTCATTTTAAGGCTTCCTCTTTCTTGGCCACTAATGGGTAATCAAGGGCAAATTCTCTATTGACCTGTTTGAATTTTCTCTGAGAAAGTCAATCCCTGGACCTTTCTGACTCTGCTGGGTACTTCATGGACCCTCTAGATTTCTCCGGTATTGGAAGACCCTCCCTCCCCACATGAACTGAAACACACTCCAACTGTGTCTGGTTAGGTTTTTATTTGCAGACTCAAGTTTGCTACATAAATCCACTGCATGGTCCAACACATGTATACTTGGCATAAAAGAAAGGACAATACAAAAATACAACTCTTGATAATAAATGAAACTGCCTTCAGCTCATGCCAGTTTATCCCAGTGGGAATGCCCATGTTTAAGATCAAAATAGGAGGAAATTTGAAATGAGGAGGCAGGGAGGGCTCAACCAGTGCCATTGTCTCTATAAGATCCTGGGTTTTTCTTAGCTGTATGGTCATTTTTTCCACCTTCAGACCCGGTCACTTCCTCCTCTATGAAGGGGAAGAGAACCTCCCCAGGTTATGAAAGAACCTCCAGAAGGAGCTAGGGCAGAGATTACACACAGTCAGAATCAAGTGTAGACTTGGAAGCCCACTTCCTTGGGGCATACCCAGCCTGGGCTATCAGCCTCTGGATGCCTCTGAAGAAAGGGTTAAGAAACTCGGGGTGGATCTATCTCTGGGAGAGGGGAAGGGAGACACAAGGAGAAACTGAAGATGTTCTCTGTGATCCCTCTTCAGCAGATTTCAGAAATGTCCCACTGATAGCAGTTTCTATCTTCCCATCCCTGGTCCCTCCCCAGGTTTGCGCCCACCAAGATCCTTGGCTGTAAGAGCTCAGACTCCAGGTCTCTGAGGGAAGTCAGAACTGGGGCCAGTCCACTGACCAGGAAATCTAAGGGGCTAGCATTTCTCAAAGGTGGGCAGGTCCCTGGAGTAGCAAGATGCTCTTCTGGTCCTTGGTATATTCCCCAGGCAGGAGCTTAACATGGCTGGGTGGGAAGCTGCAGGAGAGAGGAGCCCTGTAACCAGTCTTCTAGGACAGAACAAGAGACAACATGTAGCCAATGGGCCATCCCGTCACTCTCCAGGTGGGTGAGGGGAACATTTGGGCAGAGGAGTGGGGACGGAGGACCAAGGAGGCAAGGCAAGACCAGGGCCTTTTCCTCTCTTTGTCACAGGGGCTATTTAAACACAGTGGAGCTTCACCCCAGCCCTTTGGGCTGAAAGATGCCAGAGAATTCATCTCTTGTTTGTTCTGCTCCATCTAAGAACTTGGGGAGAATGTCATGCTCCTCTCAAAGACTGCTAGGCACTCCAGTCTGTGTCCATGGCAGCAAACACTACCAGCCGTCCTGTGACCTCAGTGAGCCTCAGTGTCTCGGAGCAGAGCTGTCATGGAGACCTGGCATTCTAACCACGGACACACACACACACAGAGTCCCAGACTTCTGGGTCTTGTATACTTTGGGGCAGACAGCAACAGAAGTTGAATTGGGAGCAATCTGTCGGGAACTCAGTTGAACAAACTACTTTAGGCCTCTGGCCTGACATTTGAACTTCAGTGCTGACTTTAAAGGATCATAAACCTCACCCCCCAGAGCCCCACGGAGCCCTAGGATTGGTCGTGCATCAGTGCTGGCGCTTGGAGAATCCTCTCGAATCTCCCTGCCCGTGAAAACTGTGAGTTGGCTGGACCTGGGGTCTCTCCTCTGCCTGACTCGCCCCTATCGTCCCCGCCACACACACTCTCAGTGCCTCAACCCCTCCCCACATTCCTTCACCCCATCCAACCTCCACGGGGTGGGGCTCAAGTGGTAACGATGACAATACACCTCCCTGCGTCATCTTCTCAGATCACACCAGTGCATTTGGACAAGGGTCACCTCTGGCATTGGAAGGCCCCGGCAGGTGAGCACCTGGGTACCCGCCTCATCTCCCAGGCCCCTCTCTCCACGGGCTCACACTCTGTTCCCCCACGAGCTCCTCTGAAAACCTCCTGGAGGTGACCAGGTCTTCTTCCCACCAGCAGCAGATGACCCCCACGTGCTGTCGAGGCTTATCCCCATGCTTGGCCAGCAGCCCTGTTGGACTCGGCAATCACAGCAGGCTCCCTGGAAACCAGGGAGGTCGTGTTACGGCCCAGTCCTAGGGCCCCGCGGCCCCAGCCCGTCGTCCCCTCTAGCAGCAAGAGGCAGCTGCCTTGGCCAAATGGGCAGCAGCCGTGGAGCAGGCTCAGGCCTCGCACGTGGGTGATGAGGTGACCCGGCTAGGACAGCCCGCCTGCGGGGGACCCTCCCACTCCAGGCGGGTGGGGGGTCTGGAAGGCCGGGTGGAGCTTCGTCAGGACCTCAGGATCCTCACTCTTCCCAGAGGCCTCGGGGGCGCCCAGCGGGTAGGTCTCCCGGGCGCGGCCGGTCCTGGCGCAGGTGAGGAAGGCCAGGCAGGCCCCGCAGAGGCGGGCCAGGTCCCTGTGCGTGGTCTCGCTGACGAAGCAGTAGAGCACGGGGTCGGCCACGCAGTTGAAGCTGGTGAGGAGCAGGGAAAAGTGGTAGGCGTTGAAGATGCCCTTGGCGAAGTCGCAGCTGGACTCCCAGAGGCTGCGCACCAGCAGCAGCGCGTGGTAGGGCAGGAAGCAGGCCAGGAAGATGACCACGGTGCTGAGCACCAGCCGCTGGATCTGGTCCTTGCGGCTCTTCTGGGTCCCGTGGCTGCGGCGCACGGCCCGCAGGATGCCCCGGTAGGAGGCCAGCAGCAGGCAGATGGGGAAGAGGAAGCCCACGAGGAAGCGGTAGTAGTTGATGCCGCGCTGCCGCGGCTCGAGCGGGTAATGCTCGAAGCAGACGCGGTGCCGGTCGGAGTCCTCCACCACCTCCTCGTGCATGAGGAAGTAGACGCTGGTCAGCAGCTCCTTGGCCCAGATGAGCGCGCTGACGCCCATGGCGGCCTTCAAGGTGCGGAACTGGTGGAAGCGGAAGGGGTGGGCCACGGCCAGGTAGCGGTCGATGGAGATGCAGCAGAGGAAGCCCACGCTGATGTAGATGTTCTCGTAGAGCAGGATCCCGCACACCTGGCAGGACAGGTCGTCGTGGGACCAGTGGTCGTGCTGCAGCACGTACTGCAGCCAGAAGGGCAGGGAGCAGATGTAGAAGAGGTCGGCCACCGTCAGGTTGCACAGGTACACGCCCAGCTCGTTCCGGGCCTTGATCTGCAGGTAGCCGTAGTAGAGGGACAGGCAGTTGGCCGGGAAGCCCACCACCAGCACCGTGACGTAGACCACCGGGGCCAGCGTCTGGTGGATGGTGTGGTCGATGTCACAGTTCATCGAGGTGTTGTCTGCCGTGATGTTCCCCATCTTTGGGCCTGCCGGGGCCTCACCCCCCATACGCTCAGGAATATGCCAGTCTCTCTATGGCCATCTCGTTTCTAGGATGTGGTTCAAGTTGTGGTGAAGGCCTGACCTCACTGGTGATGCGTAAGCCCCTGAAAGTCAAAGACAGAAAGGCTTAGGATAAAAGAAGCTAACATTTATATAGCACCTACCGTGTGTCAGGCATTGCTCTAAGTGCCTCACTTAATTTTTTTTCTCCTAATGATTATTAGTTTGACGCACACAGTTTTAACATCAATTCTTTTGATATTTTTTGCTTGTTTTGAAAAGGACATGTTCATCCGAATTCCGTGCAAGCATTTTTTTTCCTATTAAAAGGTACTTCTCTTTAAGATATGCGATATTGTCATTTCTGTGCAAAAAACACACAACACATACTTGTTTAACGAGGAGCTATTTGGGCATCATATGCAGATAAAGAGCAAATCTTAGGACAATATAACCTAGACAGCGCTTGAAATAACAGTCGTCCTACTTGAGCTTAAATAATGGTGACAGAACAAGCATTTCAAGCTGACAGCTCATTCATGTCGCTGGATCCATTGCTCATTGCAGGGTAGAAGGCAGCTGAGTGATCATGCTTATGCCTTTCACATTGGCGTAGTGTCTCACAATTTAGAAGATGATGCAGCCAGCAAACTCCAACTCAGCTGCACTGAATATACAGAATGCACAGACCAAGACACTGACAAGTGATCTGTCTCTCCATTCCCCTTCCCTGGCCTCCTGTTCCTTATTTATTTTCCTGGTCCCTCAGTCCAGCAAGCAAGGCCTGGAGCTCTTGTGAACACCATCCCATCCTGAGCTGGCTCTCCAAGGTAAAGATCAACTTCAACCCACAAAACAGCACGGGCCCCAGACACTCTCTTCTGCAACATTCAGCACCACCCATGTTTTTCCTTCTTGCTCACAGGAATGTACCAGATCAGTCAACACTGAGGCCTGGGGGCCTCTTCAGACAGCATGAAAGAGACCCAACTTTGTCCACATCCTGTTGTGCAGTGACAGACTATTTTCTTGGGCTCCAAAATCACTGCAGATGGTGATGGCAGCCATGAAATTAAAAGACGCTTGCTCCTTGGAAGAAAAGCTGTGACCAGCCTATACAGCATATTAAAAAGCAGAGACATTAGTTTGCCAACAAAGGTCCATCTAGTCAAAGCTATGGTTTTTCCAGTACTCATGTTTGGATGTGAGAGTTGGACCATAAAGAAAGCAGAACGCCAAAGAATTGATGCTTTTGAATTGTGGTGTTAGAGAAGACTCTTGAGAGTCCCTTGGACAGCAAGGAATCCAACCAGTTTATCCTAAAGGAAACCAACCCTGAATATTCATTAGAAGGACTGAGGCTGAACCTGAAACTCCAATACTTTGGCCACCTGATGTGAAGAACAGACTCCTTGGAAAAGAGCCTGATGCTGGGAAAGATGGAAGGCAGGAGGAGAAGAGGATGACAGGATGAGATGGTTGGATGGCATCACCGACTGGATGGACGTGAGTCTGAGCAAGCTCCGGGAGTTGGTGATGGACAGGGAAGCCTGGTGTGCTGCAGTCCAAAGAGTTGGACATGACTGAGCGACTGAACTGCACCACTGTGCTCTGGCAAGAAAACAGGCCAAGCTTCCCACAGCGCACTGCTACTTCTCCTCCGTGGAATCAGGAACCCAGTACAGGGTACAAGGCACCGAGACATGAGCCCCAGGCTAGGGTCAGCAGCTCACAAGCTGTGCAAGTCTTTACCCTTAGCTTCAGTTTCCTCATCTATAAAACGGGGATAGACACTCGCCCTCAGGGTCAATATCAGGGCCACATAAAATATGTCAAAATGCATGGCATTCTTTCTCCAGAGGCAAATAAGCAGAATAAAAGATGACAGTCTTCCTTGCAGTAGTGAAAAGCTCATGTTGTTGAGAATTTAACTAAGAAAATGCTATTGCTGGGCTTCCCGGGTGGCCCAGTGGTTGAGAAACCGCCTGCCAACGCAGGGGACACGAGTTCAATCCGTGGTCCGGGAAGACCCCACATGCTGCAGGGCAGCTAAGTCCTTGCACAATTACTGAGCCTGCGCCCTGGAACCTATCCTCCACAACGAGAGAAGGCACCGCAATGAGAAGCTCGTGCACAAATGGAGAGCAGCCCCCGGGCGCTGCAGCTCGAGAAAGCCCGAGCACCGCAACGAAGACCCAGAGCAGCCAAAAAAAAGATTAAAAAAAGAGACTAAAAGAAAATGCTGTTGCTATCTATACAAATGCATTTGAACAAGAGAGAAGAAAAATTTTTGTTGTAGGCCTGCCTTACAGATTGGGCTTCCCTGGTGGCTCGGTTGGTAAAGAATCTACCTGCAATGCGGGAGAACTGCGTTCAATCCCTGGGTTGGGAAGATCCCCTGGGAGAAAGGCTATAGCCACTCCAGTATTCTGGCCTGAAGAATTCCTTGGACTGTAAAGGCCATGGGGTCACGAAGAGTCAGACATGACTGAGAGATTTTCACTTTCACTTTACCTTTTAGATTAATATACCAAAATGAAAAGCCTGAGCAGTTCTATCGATTTAAGACTCCTGGCTCAGATGAAAAACCTCACTGTGTCTAAATCAACCTTGTTGTTGTTCGTAATCATCCTCCCAAGGTGATTTTTTAGACATATTTTTTTTCCTGATCACCTGCCCCCATAAAATGTTAATATCCTTAGATGTATAGAATATCTGATTATGTACCATGGCCTTTTGGAGGGTGACAAATCACTATAATACTATATCTAAGATTATTTTCACCCCACCCAAGAACCAATCTCTCCCTACCCCCTGAGAATGTATGGTCTATATGGCTGCAAATTCCAAGTGAATGGAGTCTGCATTAAGTTGTTTTGTAGTTCTAGCAGATCAGTCTTGCCCTTTGCTCTCTCTTCACCATACATAGTCAAGCTGGGACTCATGGACCAGGAGGGAAACCCCTTCCACAACTGACAATGTCTCATCATCCTCCCTCCTGTGGGCTCCTAACTGGCCCTGTGGGCACCGGAGCCAGGGCGCAGCCTGAGAACCAACAGAGCCTGCTGGGAAAGGTCTCAGAGATATCCCAGCCCAGCAGTTCCAGTCCTGGGGCTTATGGAGGATAAACTTGAGGGGTTCCCCTGAAATCACATGCTCCATCTTGTAAATATTTAAGTATGTGCATTTTTCCTGGAAAAGGGTCCCGTGGCTTTCATAAGTCTCTAAAATAGACGAGAGATGGGTCCAACCCAAAGCTGCACCCTCTTACCTGGACTCCCTGTGGCTCTCTCCGTGGCCAAGCCAGCCCCACTCCTGTGCTTAGTCACTTAGTCGTGTCTGACTCTGCAATCCCTTGGACTGTAGCCCACCAGGCTCCACTGTTCTTGGGGATTCTCCAGGCAAGAACACTGGAATGGGTTGCCATGCCCTCCTCCAGGGGATCTTCCTGACCCAGGAATCGAACCCAGGTCTCCCGCATTGAAGGCAGATTCTTTACCAGCTAAGCTCCCAGGGAAGCCCAATCCCAGCGTTCTCATTTTTCCCTGACCATTATTCCCCGGGGCAGCCACAGTGATCTTTCCAAAATCCAAACCACATCCTCCTCTTCCTTGTTTAAAACCCACTGAGACAGTTTCACAGTGAGTTATCACACCCCCAGAAAACCTCCCAAACTCCTACAAGGCCCAACGTGATCCGGCCCCAGCTCCTCCTACCTTCCCGCCACCAACACATTGGCCAGCTTTCTGCGCCTTTCAGCTACTGGCTTTGCTCCATTAGCTCCGGGAGTGCCACCCCCTGCCAACCTCTCCCCTCCACCCCCACAGCAGGGCTGGCTCCTCTGGCGCCAGGTCTCAGCTTAAACACCACCCCCTCGTGAGGCCATCCCTGACCATCCCACTAGGACGGCCCCCTCCCCCAGCACCATCACTCCTTCCTATGTGCCGGCTTGCAGAGTTCCCATCAGCATCTGAGATTTGTTTGTTTACTTGTCTGCTTGTTGCTGATCTGTCTCCTCCACGAGATGTACTGGGTTGGCTAAAAAGTTCATTTGGTTTTTTCCATAAGATGGTACAGAAAAACCCGAATGAACTTTATGGCCAATTCAATAAATTCCAAGAGGGCCTGTGTACCTTGAACAGTGCCTGGTACATCACAGGCACTCCTAAGGACTTCTGGAATGAATAAGTGTGTGCCACTTCCCCATCTCACAGATGAGGAAACTGAGGTTCAAAAGGGGAAGGGACAAGCCCAAAGCCAGCCTGATGAAGGAAGCATGGGCATTAGAATCCAGGTCTTCTTGTTCCAAGACCCACCTCCCTGCCACAACCAGTCCCCACCTGAGCCTTGGCCCCAACCTCTCAGTCCCTGAAGATGAGGACTCCAGGAGGGCCCACCTCTCCAACCTTTCCAGGATACAAGCCTGGATTTCAGTGATGGTGGTGGAGGGAGTTGCTTCTTGGTGCCATTTTCAGTTGTGGTTTAATATACATGACGGGAGCTTCCCTGGTGGCTCAGATAGTAAACAACCTCTCTGCAATGCAGGAGACGCAGGTTCGATCCCTGGGTGGGGAAGATCCCTGGAGAAGCGAATGGCTACCCACTCCAGTATTCTTGCCTGGAGAATTCCATGAACAGAGGAGCCTGGAGGGCTACAGACTATGGGTGGCAAAGAGTTGGCCATCACTGAGTGACTAATATTTCACTTTTCTCATACGTAATATAAAATTTACCTTGTTAACCATTTTTTTTGTTGTTGTTAACCATTTTTAATGTACAATTCAGTGGTAATTAAGTACACTTAAACTGTCATGCAACCATCACCACCATCCACCTCCAGAACTTTTTCGGTTTCTCCAGCTGAAAATCTGTTCCCATTAAACACTAACTCCCCATCCTCCCTTCACCCAGGCTGTGGCAAACAGCAGTCCACTGTCTGTCTCTGTGAATTTGACCACTCTAAATACCTTATGTGCTTCCCTGGAGTCTCAGACGGTAAGCTGAGTGATACAGCATTTGTCTTGTTGTGTCTTATTTCACTTGGCATCATGTCCCCAAGGTGCATCCATGTTGTAGAATGTTATCAGAAGCTCCTTCCTTTTTA